AAACAATACACTTCACGATCAATAACGCGCGTGCGCGCACTTGTGCACTTTGCCTCCAGTGGTTGCTTCTCCCGATAGCCAAGAGATAAGGTATATTGACTTAAATTGACCTATTGAAAGTGGACCTTGCTGATGGCCTTCAGAGGACGAAACGGATCATTATAAACGACAAAGCATTAACAATGTAAAAAGCATACGGATCCACTGTGTTGGGTTCACCAAACGCAGGATGTGACCGGCCCGATTAGCGAGTATCACGTTGTACAGAATCTCATCAACAATTTATGCCCCTCTCTCGCTCGGTGTGTGTGGAAGAAATATCATCATCGCTAAAAACGAAAAACAAAAGAAGTATCATCATTAACAGCATCACATAAATTATGTAAGCAGAGTGACGCGGAGATAGCACCACTTATTACAAAATAAGTGGTAGTGCATGACTTGACTTACTCTCTGGAAGATTACAAAACTTTTTTGTTTTTCTTTTACATTGATTTTGTTAGATTTATAGTCTTCTTTCCCACTCACTTGCCCTATAGAAAAAAGCATGCAGATTGAGTACCTTTTAATTTTGGATTTAGACCCGACAAATTTAAATACCTATTACAATAATTAAATTTAATTGATATTTAAACTTATTGAGATATATTTTTATAAAAAATTAAAAATAATTTTCATGATCGGAACATTTTTCACATACAATGACTTCTCAAAAAATTTAAAATTTGGTGCTTTGTCAATTATTATATACGATAGAATTTTTAACAATCCTTCAATTAAATTGAATGGTTGTGCACACTAACCCAAATTTCAAACTTCATCAACTTTAATTGAGTAATATAATACTCATTGTGGTTTATCGAGTTGGGAACTTTCTTTAATTTGACATCTATGTTAATTAATATTTTTAAATTCAGACTAGACGTTGAACAAAACAAGTAAGCGGTTTTCTATTTTTATTTTTAATTAGTTCAGATCATCAAATGGACCAGTGATATGATAATTAAATAAAAATAATATTAAATATATATAAATAAATAAATATAAGAAACAAGCCTATAATATGTTACTAAAAATGAGATAATATGACCGTAAATTAAGAATATTATAAATATAATTTTATAACTTATCAAATATAAGTGAGTTTTGATTAAATTAAATATAGTTAGATTTGAAAGTATCTATATTTACATATATAATTATCAACATCTTTATAAAAAATAATTTCAAATCATACTTGAGATCATCTAAAAATTTAAATGTAAATTGTTCAAAAATAATGTTAGCTTTTAGTACGAATCTAATTTTTTATTTTTTTCTATTTTTTTTTAAATTTTTAAACTTTTTTAATGTTATATTTAAAATTGTTTGTTTTAGTTCTTCATTTAACTTTAATTTTTGGCTTAATAGCAGCTCAACTTCATTCCACTTCGGCTCAATCATTACAATGATTTTTTAGTTTAAACCGAACTATTGACGGCTACAATTGACGACCCGGTTTGATTTGGTTTTTTAAACAACGATGCTGATGACTAATAAGAAACAAGGAAGGGAAATGAGCAACACGTTATACACGTCCCACCTCCATAGTTACTTGCAAAAAAAAAAAAACTAAAAATGTAAAATTCAGGAAAATGAGAAAATGTTTCAGAAATTAACTATAACTGACCCCCGATCGGAGAATTCAGAAAGCAAGCGACAATCAAAACGACAGACAGATATTGATTAGTTGGAGGAATATTATTCTACTTTTCAAAGGCGTGTGGGAGGTGGAACGTAACTTGTGGAAAGAAAAATGGAGAAAAAACGACAATGGAGGTGACGTGAGGGTAATTAGGCCATGATGTCCTAATTAACACGAGTGGAAATTGCAGCACACGCATATTGCACGCGTACAAGTTAAACATGTATCTTTATATAATTGATGAATGATTAAGAATTGACAAGAAGTAATTCACGGGGCAACAGAAGTTATCATATAGCAATTTTGGTGGAAGTTTAATTTATCCTTGTTAAAGTTGACTTGAGCATGACTTGCATTATACAAATGACCACATGAACAAGATCAGTGTGAACGCTGATCCTCAGCTTAAGATTCCCTTTACGACAGCATCTGAAGCCCGTTTAATGGAGCTGCGAAAACACACGCTCGCGCAGGCGCACATATAAACCAAGGTATATGCATTAAAAAGATGAAAAAGATGATAATAAAATATGCCAATTATCCTAACCAAAGCTAGTTGAGTTAAGAGTAAGAGACTTCACAGAAATAGGTAATATGTGATTAAAATAAATAGATCCAGTCTCAAAACATACACCTTAATCTAATTTAATAATTTTTGAAATTTTTTATTACAATTCAGTTAAAAACTCTGAAGCGTGCGTCTGTCACCAATTAAATATCAAAATAATTTAAATTTACTAATCTACCCTCATGATCCATTTCTGAATTCCTCCGTCTCTTTTTCACGCCGCCTCCTTGCCTGACGAATGTGGAATCCCCTCGGTCACAAAACCACGAAGCTTCTCTGTCAGACTTTTCAGTTTTCATCTTTGCTTGTATTCTTCTTCTTTCTCTCTTTCTCTGTCCAAAACGGAACTTAATTTGTCCATATTCTTTCTCTGTTTTCGCTTCAATATATTTCTCATTCTACTTGGTATTGCTCACTTCTTCATCATAGATAATTAAATATTTCTAAACCCAAAAGGGGTTGATCTTGAGTATTTCAATTCATGCCATTTTCATGATCGGTTCTTTGTTCTGATGACAAAAAAGCATTAATTTCGAGTTTTGGGATAGACATGTAATCTGAATTTTATTAAATCAAACTGTTGTTCTTGTAGTTATACGAGACACTCATTTGTGAGTAGACTTAGGCCACTAACTACATCCAAATAATTTAATTACTTGTATAACATCTTTTTAATAACCCTAGTCTTAAAATAATTAGTTTTAGTAAAAAATGTTGATATTAACTTTTTAAATATTGACAAAATATTTGAGAATATTGACATATTAAGTTTAATTATTGGAAAAATTATATTTAAATTTCACACAAGAGAATTAATTACTACAAGCCCTGTTGACAACTAAACTGATAAGGCCATTGACAATACAATCTATTATTAATAGACCTTGTAGTAATTAATTTTTTTATATAAGATTTTAATGCAATTTGTCCTTAATTTTTTAAGATAACAATGATTATCACAAAAATTATCATTTGAGACCAATTCATAATGTTAAGGTTAGAGGATTGAAAAGATACTTTATAAAATTAAAAAACCAAATTAAAATTTTATACAAGTTAGATGACCAAATGTGAACATTTGCCATTTTTTTTTGTATTTATGTAATTATTTATGTGAAATTGAATTTTGAAAAAAAAAATTAAAGAATGCATGCTTGGTTCAAATATAACAAGATGAAATTTTACGTGGAGGAGGAAAAATTTGAAAAATTTACGTTTTTAGAAGATTTTTCTGGCATTGAATCATCATCAATGTACAGCAAATTCGGAGGAGTTCAAGTCAAGGTCTGTTCTGAGTCAATTTTCCTTTTAATCTTTTCAATTGCGCGTTACCATTTCTTTCCTTCCCCGCTCGGCCGCTGTACCTTCTCGAAGTGTTTTGAATTTTATTTAATTTATTTATTGCCGACTTCCTCTTCTTTCACGTTATTTGCTTGCCAGGAGTCTTTTGCTTACTTTTTTACTTATGTTCCAGTTACAAACAGGCTGCGTTTTTTTTTTTTTTAACTAATTGATAAACGGTGTTAAATTCGTAAGCTTTCCCCACATCTCTTCTTTTTCATCGGCACACACTTCCGTGATATATATTTTTCTATTTTTCTTCTTGCAAAGAAGGTTCTTGTAAGAAATCATGTACGAAATTTAAAAGAAATGAAACAAATGGAATATAGATATGAACAAAATAAAAATATTTGCTGGAGAATAGAAGTTTGATTTGAGTTTAAGTTTAAAAGCAAGAGGTAACCAATTCAAATTTTGAAAACCTAAAATACCTGTCTGTATTCGTCCAACTTACCACTAACTAGTTCTATTGAAAATGGGACCACCAGAAGTTCAAGTTGAAAAATGAATTTTCCAAGTAGGGATGATGAAGGATATAGAGTTAAAAGTAGCAGAGAGTGTATATATACGAATCTTCGGACTCAAATAGTCGAATCCAGGCTGATGACGAACCTTAGTATCAGTACTATTTAAAAGAAATTAACTGATCACACGCAGGTTAAAAACTCTGATTAATCATCAATACTGTCCAAACACAAAATTGACATAATTTAAAGTTGTATAACCTTTTGGCTGGCTATATGTCCAAGTCCAACAAAGGTTGTATAGCCTTTAATTAGTTCTAATTGAAGATTAGCACTGATCATCACTCTAGGAATTACCAAAGAGGAAGGAAGATGGTAGAATGTACGCAGATCCAAATAACGCGGAAAAAATGTGAACCAGAGATACAAGGACACGGAAAGGCAGCCACTCAGAAACGGGGATTCGGTGAGAAACCTCCAAAAGTCAATGAGATAATATTAAGAGTCAATATGGAGATCCAAAAATTAGCTCAACCTCTCGTCTTTCTATTTAATGCCATGTCCAACTTGACCTTGACATTTTCCTCACAATTCTTGTTCATCCCTCTCTCTGAATTGGATGAGCTGACATATCCTTTTGTCTCTTCCCATCACTTTTCCAATCCGCGTTACTTTATCAGAGTAGTACTCCGAAAAAGTTCGCCCTTAATTTGATTGGAACAAAAATGGGAAATAAAAGGATAATAGAAAGAGAAAATATAAAAAAAAATAGCAATTCTTTATGATTTTTGACAATTTTTTCTCATAATATTTTCTTTTTTATGTTTTTCCCTTAATTTTCTCTCAAACTAAGCATAATTACGCCAACAAAAAATTTATATAGATATATATAGACACATACAAACACCCATCCTAGAAACGACGACACAATCCAGCTCCTCAATTTCCTGCGACTTTCCTTCATCCCACCTAAATAAATGAAAATAACGATAACCGATGCCTCCCCTCTTCTGTCTATATTTTTCCTATATATATTTTTGTTCAAGAGATTTTCCTCATCTTTCACTTAAATCAACTGCTGCAAGGTTAGAAACCACTTTGTTAGGTGGCTTCAAGCCATTTCTTTCCCCTTCTTTTCCCTTGTTAACCAGAGTTTGCGATGGAACCAAGGTGCGAGAACACCTTTCTCAATCTCAACGTTAATCCTTCTCCGCATGCGGACGGTGTCCCGGTTCGTTCAAACCTAACCTCGAATATATCAATTTGTGTTCTCTGTTTGCATACAATGTTCTTCAATTTTTTTATTTGGTAAATGTTGGAAATTTAAATTGTTCGAGCAGCCTGAGGTTTTGATGATGGAAGAGTTGCATCGTTTAAATAGCGAGAAAAAGATGCTGACCGAGAAGCTTAGTCGCGTGAATAAGAGCTACAGTGCTTTGCAGAATCATTTTAACCAAGTTCTCAAGACCACGAATTCTCAATTAGATTTAAGTGTAGTACAATCAAGGAAGAGAAAGGCTGAAAACGAGAATTGTATTGCTACTAATAATATGTTTAGTTTTAGCGGCGCTTCCGAGTGCAGCACCAGCACTGAGGATTCATTCAGGAGGCCCAAGGACCCCAGTCCGATCAGCCACCCAATTTCTCCTAAGGTTTCAAAGGTTGTTGTGCGCACGCAGGCATCTGATCCCAGCTTAGTAAGTCTTTTCATCATGTGTGTGTGTGCGTGCGCGTGGACGCGCGCACTGCATCTTGTAAATATTCTATGTCTGAAGACCGTTCCGATGAGTTCTGGTTTCATCCTTTGGAGTGGTTGTAATTGAACCAAAATTGACCAAGAAAAACTAAGTTCTATCCAGTGATATATCATGAACACGAACGAATTGAGTGTGTCGATGATTCATTAATTATACCGATAGGCTTGTCATGGTCGTAGCAAACTGGTCAGCATCTGCATCATGCCAATTTCTCATCGTAAGAGTTGGTTAATTAACTGATGCCGTTAGCTTCAACAATATTAAAAAACACTTAAAAGGTTTAATGATTTATAATTTGCTGCATATATATTGTGCGGCCGATCTGCATGGGCAGTCGAGATGAATAATGATGGATCTGTTTTATTGGATATTGCAGTATGTGAGAGATGGATATCAGTGGAGGAAATATGGTCAGAAGGTCACGAGAGATAACGCCTCTCCTAGGGCTTACTTCAGGTGTTCCTTTGCCCCGAGCTGTCCGGTGAAGAAGAAGGTGGAGACCTGCTACATAACTCTCTTTTCTCTTCTCTTCTCGTGTCAATAATTACAGCTTTCATTATTTGACCATGATTGGTGAATAAATAAATAAGACATAATGATGATGATTAACACTCGATCAGGTGCAAAAAAGCGCGGAGGACCCGACGTTATTGGTGGCAACGTACGAAGGAGAGCACAACCATATTGTGCAGGGGGCTCAAAGTGAAGTCATGGATCCAATTCATCCCGCGAAATCGAGCACTGCGATTGCTGACCAGGATTTCATCCACCAGTTTTTGGCTCAGCAAATGGCTTCTTCTTTGGCAAGAGATCCCGATTTCACTTCAGCTCTTGCTGCTGCTATTTCAGGAAAAATTTTGGAGCGCACTGTTCCCTAGCTTAGCTAATGATTAGTAGTTCAGATCATCGTTTGCATTATTTATATGCACGGCGAGTTTTGGTTCTGTTGTTTTTGTATGTTCTTGGTGTAGTTAGGAATATGTATATACATGTGGCTAGTTTGCTGTTATATATATAGCCCAGACTCTATATGTATATATATAATTTGGTTTCTACGACTTCTACACAGTCATAAGAAGATATTTGAAAGCAAAGTACACATCCAGTTTAATCATAGGAGCAGGCATATACATGGACATGGTCAATGTCAACGCCTCAAAGGTTACTGTGGCAAGCTGCGTAGAATGACTGCAAATGGCCAAATAGCAGGGAGAATCGCCCTGCAAGCCCTAAAAAATAGAAAATTGCAGTTTGGGCTTAAAAAATTTTGAAAATACACTTCAGACCTAAGGGTCCTTATTGAATTTTTCTTGCTCGAAAGTATAATTTTATCTCTGTATGATTTAAAAACTCAAAACTTGCCCTAAACCCTCATCCATGAAGCATAATACAGTATTTATAAATTCTCAACACAATGTACATATGTATTTAGTTGATCTATAGGTTAATTAAAATATAAGTCATGCAATGTACATGAATATTTATGGATTCTCAACATAATATTAGAATAGTCACTCAAAGCATGTACAACATAATATTCATAGATGCATGACATAATAGTTATGGATTCTCAACGCATTATTCATAAGTATCTAGTTGATTCGTAGGTTAATTAAAATAATCACACAAAGCATGTACAATACAATATTCATGGGTGAACAACATGATGTTTATGGATTCTCAATATAATTTTCATAAATTCTTAATATAATGTCTATACATATCTAGTTGATTAATAGATTTAAAAAAATGTATATGTTATATAGACAATTTACAATATAAAGTTCATGAATATACAACATGGTGTTTATGAATTATCAACTAAATATCTATGCGTGTCAAGTTGATTAAGAGAAAAATTGTATTTTCTCCTCTAATAAAATTGCAACAAGGGCCATTAAGCCTGCAGTATATTATTGGAATTTTTTGAGCCTGCAGTATAATTTTCTCTATTTTTAGGCTTACAATGTGATTCTCCCCAAATAGGATACACATTTCAAAGCATCCTTAGTATTTCCCCTTATCACAATATTTGTTATTATTAATTAATTTATGGTTTACAGACAATGTTAGTTGAAAATTTATTTTCTTAAAAATGTTCACATCGTTTCATTTATGTCCTTAAGTTTTTCTAGTAGCTTGTGCATATGGAGCATTTAAAAATAACAAATAAAAAACATTAAGGGTATTATAAGTGGAAAAAAAACATAGAATATATCTAATGTCCTATATTTTGGATCAAGAGATGTTTCTAGAAAGCCACTTATATTGTGGTTTGGAGGGAACTTTAATCTCAAAATACCTTAGACTAATATAACTCCATTTTAATTAAACACGTTAAGAACATGAGTATAGGTGCATCTTCCGTTCTTACTATGTAGATATATTTTTTCAGTACATTCATATGAAATTTGGGACACAAGTTGTATTATATTAAGTTGAATATTCTTTGCCTTAATATTACTAGCCTTCGAAACAGCTTACCCGGTGCACTGACTATCAGAGCCAGTTCTATAAAAAAGGGAAAGGGAAGTGTTTCACTCATAGTTGTGTTTTTGAGTCGGGGTGGCCACTCCTGTAGTGTGTGGGTGGCTTAGGTCGGTTGTGAAATATCAACACAACTTAATTATATCACATCATATGTTTAAATATAAAAAAAATGATTGTGATTTATATTGAGAATATCTCCAGCCACTTATGATGAGATATTCTGAATTCAGGTTAGATTCAATTAAATCATCACGTGTAACTTTTTATATAGTTTAAACTAATTTAAACAAATATTAATCGATCTAATATAATTTAAATTAGTTAACTAGCGTCGTTAAATATTTCATCCCATCAAAGATGGACTCGAATTCCAAATAAATAGTGTGAATGATGATGTTGAAGACTCGATTTGGATATTTTAATATGTCACCGTGCTAAGCTTTTTCTCTCCAAAATATTCAATTTTTAATCCTAATCAATGAGAAGAAGCCATCGAACCCAGATAACTCCAACTGGAAGGTGGTCAGTTAGAAATTACTCCCCTAATCCTATTTATAAAATAAGGAGAGAGTGCGTTTACTTTAATCTTATTTATAGGATACCTCAATCATTAATTTATTATTATATTTATCTTTATCATTTGTCTTTATTAAAATTGAGAAGTTTATTAAATGTTACTCCTTCCATTCAAAAATATAAGCCATTTTTTGAGAATTTAGATATTAAAAAATATAATATATTTTTAGTCCATCGAGATCTAATAATTATTTTTTTAAAAAAAATGCTCATATTAATGAATGACTTTATATTTATTGTAAAGTATTTAATAGGGATAAATATAAAAAGATAGTGTTAATTTGAAAGTAAGTATCTACTTTATTGGGAGGTAAAATTCAGTTAAAATGCCTTATATTTTTAAATGAAAGGAGTATAATATTTGATTTTTAAAAGAAATATATTTAATAGGGATATAGTTAAAAACTTATTAAATTTTTAGATGAAATTAATAAGATTTAAAATTTTTTTAATTTTGATAAAAATATTAAAAACAATTTATAAACAAGATGGGATTAAGCAATTTGATAGATGAGAGAAGGGTCACGTATACATAGGAATTCAAATTAAGAATTGTGAGTAGGACGTAAGATTGATTCTTGTATGCTGTCTCTCAGTCGCAGTTACAAAGAATATGCCTACTCTGTCGTTAACATCAACACAAGTTTACAAACTCCAGTCCTGCTGGGGAAAGGATTTCTGACATCAAGACCTATTCAGAGGAAGGGAAAAATAAAAAGTAAATAGCAAGACGAGAAAATTAATAAAAAAATTAAAAACAATAATTTTTTATTATCTTTAAAAGCTTTTTTTTAGTTGTTCTTCTTTCCTTTCTTCCCCCGTGCAACTAATGATAATAATTAATGTTTTAAAAATCAAATCAAATTGATCAGTTAAATTAAAAATCAACTCTTGATCCAATTTGGTTCGCCCATCAAAACAAGACACAAGGTAACTGGTCAAAAATTAAAAAAATTAGTTGAAAGTCGGATTGATTCTCTTAAAAATAGGTCTGAATTAATTAAAATTTTAAAAAAATTAATTAAAACAAAGAACAGCAAAAAATTATTAATATTAATCATATAGTCATTAATAATATAATATTTTAACAAGCATTTATTAATATTTTTTAAAATATAAATATTCATATATTTTTTTATTTACTTATAATATATAAATTAAAAGTATATTAATTTAATATTAATCAATTGGACTACAGTTGAATTAATGAAGTATAAATCAATAGTTAGTTTGGTTAAATGATCGGATCGTTTTTTAAAATCTTGATAATAACAGTGATCGTGGCATGAAATATGTCAGTGTCAGGGGTAGCCACAGATTCACGTAAAAGGCGCCGTATGTATTGACCAAATTATTTGAAGGGTTCCACAATTATTTTTCTGCTTTCACACGATACCTACGGCTATATCATCTATGATCTGTCCCTACCATTTGTACAACAAAACAAACCGAATTAATACGTTCTTGGATCCCCAAAAGAGAACAAGAAAAACTTTCCACCGATACGTTACACGTGGATTCCACCTCTCTTCCGCTGCCAATTCTTTCTACCGCGCTTTCACTGTGCTCCCTCCGTGTTCATATATAAAATCTTTTTAATTAAATTTTACAAATCAATAAAAATATTAATTTTATTAAAATTATATAAAATTATAATTAATATTATGGTGGTGGTGGGTAAAAACACGCAACTAATATTATGATGGTAGATAAAGTATGTAATTATTTTTTAAGATTAATGTGTAATTTAAATTTTAAATTATAATTTTAGAAATAATTTAAATCCTAAACTTTTAAAAAAAGTATATTTTAAATTTTAAATAATTAAAGTTGAGGTAATTTTATTCTTACTATTAAATTTCAATAAAAGTTCATCAAATTTAATTAAAAAATTGCACTTTAAGCCTTAATTTGACAAACATTTTTTGAAAATTAACAATAAGGTAAAATTACACCAATTTTAATTGTTTAGGATTTAGAATGTATCCTTTTAAAATTTAAATTTTAAATCGTCCTTGGATCTATAATTTAAAGTCTAAATTATATTTTAACCCTTTTATATTTTTTTGAAAAATGTATTTTAATCAATAATAATTCAATAGTAATAAAAAAGTGTATTTTGAATATTATATCAATTCTTAAAATCATTTTGAAGAGTGTATAAGTTTATTGATTTGAATTGATTAATGAAAGTGAAAATTTATAAAACAGAATCAAATGTTTTTATGGTAAATAAAGAGATAGAGAAAAAATGTATGAAAAAAATTATTTTATATTTTTTCCTAACAAAAAATTATAATATTTTTTCATTGATATTATTATGAGATTCTATTATGCCAAAGAACAAATAAGAAAAAATATAAAAATGCGCTTATAGTGAAAGATTATATTATACTTTTATTGTTGTCATTAATAGCCTATCAAAACCTCACCTAGCAAGAATAAAAATAATTCACTCGATACTGTCTCATTTATACCTATCATAATCTCCACCAAAAAATTCTTTATTAATTATTACAATTTACAGCTTTCTTTTATATAGTTTCATCATCATTATTATCATTTATCTTTTTTTTATTCCTTCTTTTCATATCTTGAAAAATTTGTAATATAATCATGGGTTAATATATAATTTAAACCTTAAACTATAGGTTTAGAGGTGATTTGAGCCCTTAGTTTTTTTTAAAAAATATATTTGAACCCTAAGCAATTAAAGTTGAGGCAATTTCGCCCCTATCGTTAACTTTCAACAAATATCTATCAAATTAGGGCTTAAAGTGTAATTTTTCTCATATAAATTTGACAGATGTTTGTTGAAAGTTAACGGCAGGAAAAAAATTGCTCTAATTGTATTTGTTTAGGATTCATAATGTACCTTTTTAAAGTTTAGTATTTAAATCATCCTTGGATCTATAATTTAGGGTCTAAATTATATATTAATTTTAAAAAATAATCTTTTAAAAAACACCTTATAAATAGGGATGAAGAGAATAAGTCTTTAAATATTAATGGATAAATGTACATTTTTATCCTTAAAGTATTTTTTGAGGAGCATCTACCACCTTAAAGTTTTTGTTGGAATAATTTTGCTCTTAACGTTATCAAAATGAAGTATTTTTGCCCTTTCTGTTAAGTTTTTTAACGGTCAATGTTTGATGCCAGGATTGAAAATTTGACAAAAAGGGAAAAACTATTTTGTTTTGATAACGTTAAGGGTGAAGTTATTTTAACAAAAATATTAGGGTGTTGGGTGCTTCTCAAAAAATACTTTAGAGATAAAAATACACATTTACCCAATATTAATCATATTTTGTATTGATGATCATTCTAATAATTAATTCTGTTCATGACACATGTGGCATTTTCCCTGATCTGCTATGTGAAAACAAGATTAAATATGCCGGGGGTAAGCAACTCTTGTTATTTTGAAACCTTGGTCCAACTTGACTTGACTCAATATATTTGTATTATAACATTTTTTTCCTATTCAAATTCCATGCGAAATCTAACCTATATATATAATCAAGCAAGATTTGGCTCAAACAGCTAGCCTCAGTCAGCAGCTTAGGGAAAGAGTGCAGATCAGAGTCCGGGCATACTTCTCTTTCACGCGCTGGGAAACACAGATTAATTGTGAACTTGATTGGACTTTGAAAAACTCTGAAAAAGTTTTGGTTCATGTGGGTATCTCAGTCACTGCATAATTAATTTGGCTGTGATAATTGTTTTAAAGATAGATATACATTTTTATTTTTAAAATATTTTTTAAAAAGTACTTAGTATTATAATATTTTTATTAGAGTAATTTTATTTTTAACGTTGTCAAAACAAAATATTAAATATTTCATTTTGATGACGTTAAGAGCTAAATTACTCTAATAAAAATATGAAGATGCTAGATACCCTTTAAAAAATATTTTCAAGATAAAAATATATCTTTATTCTTATGTTAATGTACTCTTAAATTTGTAACTAAATATGTGCAGCCAATTATTGCTCAAATAAGATAATTAGCTTGAACTTTTTACGAGTTTTAACTTTTAATTTGAATGACATCGAGAGCTAATTTATTGGTTCCTGAAGTGGTCAGTTTTTTTACGGAACAATTACGTGCATGGGCTGGATTCGGCTGTTTATTGAAGTTTGGATGGCCCACTGTTACGTGTTTGACTTTCAGACTCAATTGACTTCGCCGCGGGTCCCACCCCTTCAGTCTTTAATACGAGGGGAACTCCTAATATTGATATTCATTCATAGTCGGTGAATATGAATTTTGTAAATACACAAGAAGTTCTTCTACCGGTGCTATCTTTACTAAGATATAGAAAAAATAATTATTTAATCTCTATAATTTTAACTTAATTATAATTTAATTATTATAATTTTGACTCAATTATAATTTAATTTATAAATTTTAACTTAATATAACTTAATTATTATACTTTTAAATTACCAAACTTATAAAATAGAGAAGCTATATGAGCAATTTTTTTTATTTTGGTTATAAGTATAAGATCACTGTCACTTTTGCCTCTTGTATTTATTTTTTTTTTCAAACTATCCTACCGATTATACACGTTAATGTTTGCAATCAATATAAGTAGTTTCCAGTATAAATGACATGAAAACGAGGCTCTTTTAAAAGAACTAACACAATTTCTCACAAAAGACTAATTTAATGAATTGTCTTAATCTGCGGAAATTAGTTATTTGGTTTCTACATTTAAGACGGAAGGGAATACTATTTAAACTCGTGTCCACAATTTAAGAAAACTATTAAATAGCCTAGACTGTAATAAAATTTGATGTTATTAGACTAAAATATCCTTAATAACAACAACAAATCATTATTGTTGTTGTTGAAAGAAATTGTCCAAGTAATTAAACTCGAGTGACAATATTTTAAAAAAGATGTTGTATGTATGCATTTTTGTTATACACACACACACACAATTCTTTAATGATGCAATTGGACACTAATTAAATTGGTCGTCGATCGCATCGGTCATCAACAACTCTTCCGTATCGGAGGCGTTCACATTTGGAAAAATTTGAGCATTTGCTCCATAATTGGCCTGTGGTACACGCATGGCTGTTAAATTAATGAGTAATTACCGCTTGCTTTCATTTTCCGTTTTAAACTTTGTTTCTATTTTCTCTCATGTCACAAAGCTGTTGGAAAACCTTGTTAATGTTACATTCACCTTCAAAGTCAAATTAAAATCCCCGAAAACAAAGCATCTAATCATCAATTAATTTAAAATTCAGAATCTCACCAAAATCAAGCACTGTTCATAAACATCATCACTTATCATATACGGCCCCACATTTTAGTCCTTTAGTATTTTTCTTTTTACCTATAAAAAAAAAAGAAGAGGAACTGCCTTTTTCAGTGAAAATGTTGCTGGAAGTGCAGATTCATCAATGAAAGTGCGGCATTTTGCGGTTCGTTGCGGCGCAAGTGTGTCCTGTATTTGGGTTTTTTTTTTTTTTTACTGCATGTCCAAAATCTCAATGGTTCATTTTATTTAATGATAAAAAAATTTATATCCCCACTTTCCAAATTATAAGATAATATGAGACAAAATTATACATATCAATAAAATACAATAATAATACTTTATAAAATTTTTTTTTTCAAAATTAGATTATAAACTTTCAAAAACCCTCCATACACACTTAATTATTACATTATAATATCATTTTAATTCTCCTTTTAATTAAAGAAAAATATTGGCCAAGCATAATTAATAAAAAAATTTCTCAGAGCATATTATATTGTGGAACAATAAAATTTTTTAAAAGTTGTCTTATAATTCGAGATGGAAGAAATATAAATTTACAAAATACTCTCTTTGATCTTATTTATAGAGCAGAGAGAAAATTTTTTTTGATCATATTTATAAGTCATGTCATAAATTTTTATTATAAATTTTTTTTACCCTCCATTAAATGTCAGAGAAAGAAAATATTTTATTGAAGTGTGTATATTTAATAGGGATAAAATTGAGAACTTAATTTTAAGATAGAGTTAATAAATTTTAAAATTTTTCTTGATATTGATAAAACATATTAAAAATAATTTATAAATGAGATCAAAGAAATAAAATGTTAAAATTTTAGACATTAGGAGACAGTAAAATACTGTCAAAATTTTTTAACAGTGCTACTCTTAAAAAAAAAAAGATCACTACCAACAGTTCTAGTAGAGATTACATGGTCATGAAATCGAAAGTTATACAATTTCAAGCATTACCAGGTTTAATTAGATAGTTCTCTTAAAAATATTTTTTTTTGTAATTAATAATTCATATAAATTTAAATTCGAGATTTTATATTTAAGTTATATTATATTGGACCGACATTTATTGATATATTACTATATGACACTAATACTAGTATATGCGCAACAGTATTAACTTTGTTGAATTTTCTTGCAACGGTAAAAAAATGCTGTAGCTGAGGACTTTTACGAAAGTGTCCAAGTCCATTAAATTTCTTTTCACTCCTCGGAAGACGTCGATGAATTACGATCGTCAGCTTGCGTCTTGCGATGACATCAGCCCTCCTGACGTTCGACCATGGACGCACGCGGGATTCTGTTCAAAGAAATAATTCTTATATATCCGCATAAACCTCCCTTTTCCAACACGTGGAGTTGAATCCAGAAGCCCCAGACCCTGATCAAGCTGTCTGATTCGCTCGGAAATAGTATTTCAAAAAAGTAGCCATCAAAAGAATTTCTCTCCTCTCTAGTCTCAGTCACCCCCACCTTCAACTACCCAATAATCCTATTATAAATAATCAACACCTCCTTCATTATTCCAGTCTTAATACACACTCAATACATATTCTTCTTCTTCTTCTTCTTCTTCTTCAAGCTCCCATTCAACTTCCCCCAATGGACGGAAAGGTAACTGTATATGTTTCTCTTTTCGTTTGCTTTGTTTAATCTGTTTCTGTACCTTCAATAACATCATTCCATCGGTGCTTTCATGCTCGATTCTTCTTAATTGTTATATATACTATATGGGTAGAACACTGAGAAATTCATGGGGGCATATATTTGTTTGTTCAGGAAGAAACGCTTCAATCAGGGTTGAAACGTCTGAGAGATGAGAATAACGCTCTGAGAATGATGCTTCAAGTTCTGACCAGCAAATACCAAAAGGTCCAGTGTCAACTTCAAGAAATGAGAGACACGGACTCGAATCAAAGCGTATTAGTGTCTGATTATTACGATACGAGTAATAAGAGACCAAGAATTGAGTTACCTATAGCACATAAGCCATTGCAAATCTTCGCTAGAACCCATCCCAAGGACAATAGTATGGTACGTCCGTGTAAATTATGAGTAAAAGCTCAGATTCTACCGTGGAGGTTGATATGTAATTTTGAAAATTCCTTTGGATGTATAGGTAGTAAGAGATGGATATCAGTGGAGGAAGTATGGCCAGAAGGTTACAAAAGACAATCCATCGCCTCGAGCTTACTTCAGATGTTCCATGTCTCCAAACTGCCCAGTCAAAAAGAAGGTATATATACTACACACGCATTAATCATATCAGCTCATGATCCGTTCTTCCAAATTTTATTGGTTGTTGTCACTCAAGGACATCTGGAACAAAGAACTAATCAAGAAATAAAATGCCAAAATAAGCCATTTTTCTGTTCTTTAAGGGCAACTAATTGGCTCGTGCCCATGATAAGCTCGCATGGTTCTTGCCCAGTTCATACATATCGTATGTGCTTTTTTTTTTTTTTTTTGGGTTTCTTCAACGTTGAACATCACATATATGTATATTATGAATTTGTCGGTGCGATGTGATGAAAGATTTGAAGATGAAAATGTGGTTTAATCAAGAGACTATATCCTCATGGCAATTACTCAATGAAAGTAGGTACAAAGAAGCGTAAAAGACAGGTCTATCCTTGTGGCGACTTATGAAGGAGAACACAACCATGGAACTGTTGATCCCAAAACTCCCCAAGGCTCAATTGCCGACGACAAAGAAGAGACCAAAATTAATGGTGTTGGGATTCCTAGGTGGTTTCTGACAGAAAGAAGACACACTGAAGATCTAAGCAACTTCAGAATTGATCAATTTGTGGGTTCTCTCGTTAAAGATCCCAACTTCACTGTATCGTTAGCCGAAGCAGTTGCTCGATCCATCACTACCCAACAACGCAAGCAACAAGACCTTGATCTTAATTTGAGTCTTGGTGAAGTGTAAAGAGAATGAATATTTAGAACGTAGTTAGGAAGTTGGTAGGTTCTCTTACAATTGAATTTTTAAACTTCAAGTAATCTGTATGCGATGCATATATAAACGGAAGTGTGCAATTTTCCTCTCTCTATACATGTCAATATCATTTCATGAATTGATAATAAGATAGAGACGAGAATGAAGGCGAAGGTCATTCGCAATCATAAGCAATCAACCTCTGAATCTTATTTAAGATTTTGATATCAGTCACCAAAGGGATGCCTTGGGGTAAAAATTGAAAAATTCGCGTGCTGCCCAACCTTGCACATCTACAAAGCAATTAATCGTCTTCTTCAAGGGATGGCCTTCAACTCATCAAAATTGCAAATGCTACGCTATCTACTTATCTGAATTAATTATCAACATTTACATCGCTATTACTCAGTACTCGCAAGAAACTAGCAGAGCAAAACTAAATCATATATACTTTGTACACCAAAATTGCTGACCATTATTTTACAAGTAGCTCACCAATTGAACTGAACTGCATAAATTCCTGCTTTTCTGCTGGACGAACAACGAATCAGACAGTGAAATGCATAGTAATCCGAAATTCTAGACTACCACAAACGGGTTTATGAAGAATTGCTTCTTACAATAAATCTCATCCTCAGCCATATACCACCAACGTTACAGTTCTTGCATGAGAGAATCAGTCATTCACGTCATCATCATTGTCCCCTCCAGAAGGGAATTTCATGAACTCAATGACAACTTGAGGCCTCTGATATATGATCACTTGATATCGCCACTCTCAATGGGGGAACTTATCATTTGTTCAGACTTCTTTTTAGGAGTTAACTTCAACTTCTCATTTTCCGCTTCCTTCATTGCTTTCTTTTTCTCTAATTCAAGCTGCTTGCAGTTATCTTCATGGGCTCGTTCAAACATTCTCACAAAGTTGAGTAGGGTGGATACAACTACAGAGAGAAATCCCCACTAAGAATGCTGTAGCAAGTTATTACTTCTTTTAAGGAAGGAATACAGACCATGCCTTTAGACTCCAGGTTTACAATGTCTCACTTCAGTCAGAAAGATTTAAAATGGCGTATATTTGCAACCAAAATAAGACAAATTCACAGGACATTGAGAAGCTAATGAATGGTGAATTCAAAACTTGAAGCAGTTCTTGATCCTTTTCGTATCTCTTTGTTCTGCTAAATCAACCTGGATAATACATAAACTAGCCAAAAGAAAATTACGCGTTGAGATTACCTTGTTCAAATGGGCAACGTGCAGGATCCTCCCCGAAGTATTGAGCTAATGCATCTGCGTTTCTACCCTGGTACATCCAGATTCAATCACGTGACTAGTCATTTCAGTGATTCATCGAGTAAGCTCAAAAGTATATGTTAAAGAAGTGAATCCATACCACATTTGAATAAAGTTGAGCCAAGGACCTCACTTTGGCTTCAGCGTCACTAAGAAATTCCTTTAAAATCTGAACATTATCAAGAAAATGTCTTCAAAAGGTATATCTAAGGAAAATAATATTAAGATGCATAAATGAAGAAGGCAATAATTCATTGGTTAAAAAAAAAAAGGGCTATATTCATATATGACAATTTAAAGGCAGTGAGTTGCCTGGTTTCAACTTTGCGATTGGAGAGCCAGCTTTTTCATTTTAATTCAAGGCACACTGAAATTGAATTGGACAATAGTAGATTATTCTGCCTCACAGGCTAAACAGTGTTCTAGGATATGTGTAGTGATAATACTATCGCAACCATCGATGTAATCTGAAGCTATAATCTTCAAGTTGACACTGTATCTAAAGGACAAACGACAAAAATGGCAATTTACTGATATATTAAGACAAGACGTTACTAATCACTTGGTCCTTTCAATATTAAGGTGAATCTTATGCCCTCTAAATTTAATGGATAGCCTTGGATGATATCAATAGAGGGGCATTCAGTCGTCAATGTATTAGGTAAGTTGTATTTCAAAAAAACAATCAGAGTAAATTGCTCTAACAACGCCCAAGGTTTGTTTGAATCATGCCAAATGCACCTCTCGTTTCAAAAATTCCCATATGGCTCTTTCTGACACACACATATTTGATTGTGCATAGATGTCCACTCATTAAAAGCAATTCTATTCAAGACACAATGGGACACTAAATGTAAGCACCTTTTCTAGCGAAAGTTCAGATCTTAGTTTGTTGCGTTGTAAGAAACTAATTCTTTTTGTTAAATCCAACCCTGTTAGTACACATACACATATTTGCACTAACATAAGATGGTGATGTTATTATTACAATCTATAAAGACAATTAAGTAGATGTTTAAGCTCCAAAATGAATTTATAATTTTATTCTTAAAACCATGCATTTGCATGGAGTTGAAAATAAGTCATGTTATTTATAACTTATGATCAATATTGAACAACTTACTACAGATATATTGGCATGGCACTAAAGACAACTAATCAATTCTATTTTTAGCAGATTTTTTTTTGGCCAACTATTTTTTTGGAAGAATTACATATTATGTAGAAAATAAACTTTCATTTAATAAATTAGAGGTGAGTTTGGTGTAATTTTTAAAATTCAAGGAGTATTAATTGCAATTTATCCAAACCTCAAGGGAGTTAATGTAATTTACTAAGAATATATTCACCCTTGTTGCATTGTCCTAGCCTCATCCTACCATAATTGATCAAGCTCCTGGAGTTGATAGAGGAGTGTTACAACGTTGATAGTAGTATAGTAACAAGTGTCAAAGGAGCCTGTTATAGAGGCCTGTTATGTCAGTTAAAAGCCGTAAGGGGCCATTTATAATGGCTAGTGTAAATATACGTTTGTATGTGCATTTGAGGAAAAGCAGAAACCAGAGTAGGAGTCATTTTCATTAGCAGCCATAAAAATATGATCAATGAGAGCTTCGATTATGATATAAAATTATTTTCTTATTTAATGCTGGACACTGCAGCTACAAAGGTCTTATCCAAACACGCAAGTGGGATGCCATTTCAAGTTCAAAACTTCGGCAAATATTTTGATCCATTACATTTCAGAAGAGTGTTGGAGCCTTAGAGCCCTAAATGAGGCTTAGACTATCTTCCTGTGATTGTAAATGAATATGGCATCACATATGTGGCCTAAGTATCCCATAACTCAGTCCCAGCCATAATGTTCCAATGTTTTTTACGCTACAAGCTTCTATTATAACATATCTGAACTAGAAACTTATAAAAAATTTAGGTTAGGTTAGCCCATTGAATGTTGATGAAATATAAGAATTGATATATTTTGAAGAAACCTCCTATAAGAAAAACCTAGGCTAATAGCTTATTATCATTGTATTTTGCTTGTATGAAGCCTATTTAGGAAGAAGTAAGTTACTTCTGTGTTATTTTAATACTTTTGCAAAGAAAGAAATCTAAGCATTTACTTTATCTAGCAAAGTTATTAAGGTTTTCTCGATAGGCAGGAAAGTTTAGTTTAAATAGATTAGACTTTGCTCTTGTGGCTGTTTGGATTTCAGTTGGGTATAATATATTATAAAAATAATTAATTAAATGGTAGATTTTAATTATAATTGATTATATTATAATGCAATCTATTTGGACATCCTTTTTCTAAAATTAATTTTAACAGAATTGAAGATGTTTGGATAATTTAATCAAAATCAATTTTAGCTATATAAATTATTATAAAGGGCATTGCTTTTCAAAATTAAATTATTAATATATTTGTATCTAATATTATTAAATTTGTTAAATTTTATTTAAGAAGTAAAATATATTATTTAAATTACATATCTAATTAATTGTAAAAATTTCAATTATATTAATATTAACAATTTAATTTACGTAAATAAATAACTTAATATATCTTAGTTTAAATAAATTTAATAGAAGAGAAAGATTTAATTCTTAAATACCAAACGTCAATTTTACAATAACTAATAAAAATGATTAATATATAAATTGATAATGATATTATGGATATAAGCCATATCTAACGAAGATGTTAAGTCCTGTATTAAAATTTTGACAACATAAAAAATGTAATAATGTCACAAATGATGCAAAACATCTCTCTCTCTCTCTGTGGACTTTTGCAATAATCTTTGTCATGATTCTAAATTTTAAGTTAATTTTTTTCTACTAATTAATATTTTATTTGAATTAGTTTTATAGTAAGTGTTGAGTGAAGGGTGATGATTGACAGAACTTATGCTAATAACTTTTTTGAGAATATAAATTTGAATGTTATTAAGGAAAAAAAAAAGAGAAGAGAATTTAATTTTATTTTTATTAAATTATATATTTTCTTTATAATTTTTTTGGGTCTTTCATTGTAATTTTTCCTAATATTTTTTGATAGCTTTTCTGCAAAAGCTTGGATTGGCAGCTTTTAGAAAAAATTATTTTTTCTCTCAAAAATGGATTAACCCAAAAACTTGGTGTTTAGGCAATTGAAGCAAAAACTAATTTTTTTTTCCCTCAAAAATTGATTAACATGCTTATCCAAACACACACCTTGTAATGTAGATTTGATGAATGAAATATTATGATTGAGTATTCAGATAGCTTCCCCCCTCTCTCTTTCGTCTGTCTCTCCCTTTCTTCTTCTTTCTCTGTCTGCTCTCTCCCTCTCCCTCTTTTGCTCCCCCTATTGTTCTGTTCTTCATTCTCATTTCTCCCCCTCTTTGTTTCTATTTCTCCCTACTCTCTTCCTCTGTTCAATACTGTGCAAGTGTGTGTGTTCTGGTACATCAGTTTGATATTAGAGCTAGTATTTCTACCTTCCTTGGTTGTTTCCGTTAGCTGAAAATAACAGAAAACTGGCCTAAAACCTCTAAGACCCTCTATTTCACGCTGCCTGCCCAGAAACCCCTTTCCTAACGTCAGATCGATAAACCACCACCACCATCATGTTTAATAGGAGGAACCGGTTAGAACCCAAAATCTCACCTCCTCCCTCAACTGCATGCACCTCCACGCGCCAGTGGAGCATCCTGTGCGTTGTTTTCACTCGCCTCATGTACCCGTAACAGGTGCTGCTCATGACTTCACGCATCGTCATGCAAAGTTCCAGAAATCTGATTTTTTTTTTGGCATTTTTGGGTGCTTTCAAGGAGTTTCTACAGTTTTGAGCAATTTAGGGTCCCAAATCATCATTCATAGCATTATTTAGTGAAAAAAAAATTTCATGTTTTGTGGCTTTTAAAGCTTACAAACCTATCCTATGTGCAAGAAATCATTTTTGAAATTTTAGTTTTTGTTTATTATGTCCAAAATTCTTAAAAGTGATCTTGAGAAATCTGAAAGGGTTCAAAAGAAATGAATAGTACAAAAAAGCCTTCAAAGGCATGGAGATAACTTTTTCAAGATAGGAGTATGATATTTTCAAGGCACAAGAGAATGGTAACCTTATCAAAAAGCCTTCACCTATGTTACTCATACAAAAAAAAAAAAAAAACTATCAGCACTAGTGGCCTTGAAATTGTAAGCTTAGCTTTGGAAGAATTGAAGGTAGTAACTGAGGGTAGCACAAATGTTATTAAGAAACAAGAGAATGATGCTGATTTAGAATAAATCTCCATGAAATATGAAGGCATGAGTCTTGAATTGAATCAAGGTTTCAAATTGGTGACCAAAGATCTTGTGCCATAGGCCTTAGAGATTTTTCAAATTAGGGATATTGACAAGAGGAGTGTTGAACTTTGTCAAAGTCCTACTTCCAATCATCCATGTGCTACACTATTTGTTGCAAAAGTTGTTGTGATTATGAAAGAACATATTGTTTTCCCATGTGATATCAACCTCTACAACTACTTTGTTCATTGGAAAGGTTTTCCAAGTCACTATGATCACATTACTTACTCTCCACATGGTCTTATATTCCACTACCTGTATGTTAGAAAGGATCTCCAGATTAGTTGCTACTGGGAGGAATTCCCTACATCATCTTTTAGTGGAGTTACATCAACTCTTTTTTTTTTTTTTTAACTCTCCGGAGGATGGTTTTGTCAAGCAGGGGAGAAATGATGAAATATAAGAATTGATATATTTTGAAGAAACCTCCTAAAGGAAAACCTAGGCTAGTAGCTTATTACCATTGCATTTTGCATGTAAGAAACCTATCTAGGAAGAAGTAAGTTACTTTTGTGTTATTTTAATACTTTTGTAAAGAGGAAAATCTGAACATTTACTTTGTCTAGCCAAGTTATTGAGGTTTCCTTGATAGGTAGAAAAGTTTAGTTTAAATGAATTAGGCTTTCCTCTTCTAATGTAGACCTTGGTGAATGTAATATTTGATTAAGATTTCTGATAGCTCTTCTCTCCCACTGCATTTCTGCCTCTCCCTCTCTTGCTCCCCCTACTGTTGTGTTCTTCATTCTCATTTCTCCCTCTCTTCGTTTCTATTTCTCCCTACTCTCTCCCTTTGTTCAGATCTGTGCAAGTGTGTGTGAGCGTGTTACATCACATGTAGATGCCTGCAAAAGCATTGTACCTTACAGAAATCTTCTGACACAGGCCCATCATTCTCTGACTCATCAATTCCTGAACTACTTTCTCAAGTCCTTTACTAATAGCTTGCATTTCCTCTGCCAAACATTTCAATTGTATCTGTATAGATTATAGAGTACTTATTTTACTCAGTATACACCAAATCAGAAAATAAGAAAACTACTTGATCTGATAATGCAATAGGAAGAGATACCTTGGTCGAAGCCTCCAAGCTCTCCAGGTCTTTGAGAAATCTAGAAGTTCTGGAAGCTTTTCAGCAAGCACCTGCAACTTGTCATATATCAAAATAATTACTATGTCAATTAATACACTTGAAGAATCAAAGGATATGCCCCCCTGGAAAAAAAAAAAATTGGAGCTGACTGCCACAGCAAAGCACATAGAATTGACGAACACCAACATACATCCATATTCATATATGCATAAAATGAGAGGCAATGTTGTAGATATGACATATTGCTGCAGGTCTAACGATAACCGCATCCAGTGATCTTTATTGATATCAAAATTAGTTCTAATGGTTAAATAGCAAAGGAAGAAGGATTCTAGATGGCTATTAAATTATTATAAACTAGAATAGAGCTCCTTTAACTTGAGTATATTTTTCTGTTTCTTCTCTATGTTCCAGCATGTATCAAGGGTATTCTTGTAAAGTACTCACAAGTCAAAGTTTCCTCAAATGAGAGCATTTTAAGATAATGTGTTACCATCAGGGGAATGTTTCCAAAGTTTTCCATCCTTGATATTCTTCTTTAATTTTGACGGAACATATTTTGACGTAAAGATGAAATCTGAAATGAGCACATATGCGAAAAAGTGAGGGTAGCACCTATTGAGGAAAAAATAATAGAAAATCGGTTGAGATGGTTTAGACATGTACAAAGAAGACAAGGGAGGCACCAGTGAGAAGAGTGGAACATATAACTTTGAGTCCGATTAAGAGGGGTAGAGGAAGGCCTAAGAGAACACTCTTAGAAGTTGTTGAACGCGATCTCTTAATTAATAATATTCCTAAAAGCTTGATAAATGATAGAGCACAATGGCGTCTTGCAATCCATATAGCCGACCCCACCTAGTGGGATAAAGGCTTGTTGTTGTTGTTGTTGATATTCTTCTTTAATTTTAACTGACAGCCAAAATCAAGAGGAATTTAGTAGTAATTCAAGCTTCTTGTATAGAAACTAAGCAATCAATTTCTCACTGTCTCAAGCCACTCAGTTGAATGGCCTGGAAAAAAAAAAAGCCATATTTTGCTCATCAAGCCATGCAAAGGTAGAAACTGAACAAGCATGTTTTCCATCAAAAGAACCAAGTATGCTTCTCTGCATTGAATCAGGATTTTTCCACTGAAATGGGTTCTTGTTCTACGTATTTGTTTTCATCCACATTAAAATTCTTGTGATCTGGCTACATTCTGAATCACTTTATCTTTTCCCTTATTTTTGGAGGATAAGAGCTCTTCTCATGCATAACCTTAAGAATACAAAAAGGTTGTTACAAACTAAGCAAGTCAAGCGGCATGAACTAGCTGCATAAATATCGCAAGTTTAGCAACTAAAGTTGAAGAATATCCTTCATAAAGACATTCGTATTTTGTTTCTAACTTCTCAGAACTTCTTTTCAAAGTTCTGTGGCTCATAAATAACATTTAGAACATAATAGGTCATTGAATAAGAAAAAACCAATCAAGTATAGCTTCATCAATATAACAAATTTGGCAATTAAAGCATGAACGTTCTCAAAAACATGGCACCTTTCTCTCTTCCTCTTGGGAGGGGATGGGGACATGGTCCCTTCTTTCTTACTTTTGAGGGCTTCCTTTTTCATAAAGATATGTTTCATACAGTTTGTGCTGAGTCTAATTAAGCAACAAGATGAGAATGAGATTTTCCAAAGGACAGGGTGGGAGGTTGTCAGTGTCTAAAAGTAGACAAGTATCATTTATGTTTGTCATCATACAGAACAAATTGACAGATAAACATATACCAACACAGTTTAGTTAGCTTGTGATAATTTTGACTGCATCAACTTTAACAGACTACAGATAACCAGACAGTCAAATGTTCAGAGAAGAAACTTAACAATCTATAGAGAAGCAGTTTATGTTTGACATTTATGAATACCAGGCATCCTTTGAAAGGTCCCTACAACAACAACAATCCTTATTCCACTAGGTTGAGTTGGCTACATAGATTATATGATGCCATTGTACTCTATCATTTATTAAGCTTTTAGAAATATTGTTAATTGAGAGATTTCAATTAACAACTTTCAAAAGTGTTCTCTTTGGCCTTCCTCTACCCTTCTTGACGGGGTGCCTCCTGTGATCTTCTTTGTACATGTCCAAACCACCTCAAATGATTTTCTACCATTTTTCCTTTAATAGGTGTGATGCCTATTTTTTCTCATATGCACTCATTTTTAATTTTGTCTTTACATGTATGTCCACACATCCATATCAACATTCTCATTTCTGCTACTCCAACTTGATATTTTTGTTGTCCTATCAAAGCCCAATATTCACTACCATATAATATTGCTGGTCTTATAGCAGTTTGATAAAACTTCCCTTTAAGTTTATTAGATGCCTTACAATCGTAAATAATTCCTTCACAGCTTTTCTCCAATTAAACCACTCAGCTTATTTCCTATGTGTAATATCTCCATCAATTTTCCCAAAGATATGGGAGGTTGCAAAAGTAGTTTTGGGAGAATCAAAAGGTTCTGGTCCGAGAGAGAAGGAGTCTTGGTGGTAGAATAATAGTGTACAGGACAAAATCAAGTATAAGAAGAACTGTTTTAAAGCCATACATTTGTGTAACAATGAGAAAAATTGGGAGAGGTACCGTATGGCTAAGAAGGACACTAAGAGAGCTATGGGTGAAGCTCATTCTAAAACTTTTGAAGAATTTTATAAGAGCCTTGAGACGAAAGAAGGAAAGTGAAATATTTATAAGATTGTCAAGAGTAGGGAAAGAAAATCAAAAGATCTAGAACAAGTAAGGTGTATTAAGGATGAAGAGGGAAGAACTTTAGTTACAGATGATAAATTAAAAATAGATAGGAGACTTACTTTTCTAAACTTTTCAATGATGGAGAGGGTTCATCTAGTAACTTGGAGGATTTAGTAACTGGTGAAGGAGAACAAAATTTGTCATTCTATCGAATAATATGTGATAAGGAGGTAAAGGAAGCTCTTAAGAAAATGGCAAATGATAGAGCCAACGGACTTGATTCTATATCTATCGGAGCGTGAAAATGTTTTGGTGAAGAAAGGGTGAGATGGTTAACTAAGTTATTTAATGTGATTTTACAGTCCAAGAAAATGCCTGATGAGTGGAGGAGAAGTATATTAATTCTTATTTATAAAAATAAAGGAGATATTCAGAATTGTACTAATTATAGAGGGATTAAACTCATGAGCCACACAATGAAATTGTGGGAGAAAGTAATTGAGCACAGGTTGAGATTGGAGACAAGTATTTCTGAGAATCAGTTTGGTTTTATGCCAGGTAGATCAACTACAGAGCCGATTTATCTACTAAGGGGATTAATAGAAAAGTATTGTTGTAAAGATAAAGATCTACACATGGTTTTATTGATTTGGAAAAAGCTTATGACCGTATACCAAGAGAAGTGCTTTGGAAAGTGTTAGAAAAAAAGGGAGTACAGATTACTTATATTAAAGCCATACAAGATATGTATGAGGGGGTAAAAACTAGTATAAGAACGCCTAGTGGTCAAATAAAGGATTTTCCTATAAAGATTGGACTACATCAGGAATCATCTCTGAGTCCTTATTTGTTCAACTTGATCTTAAATGTTTTGACAGAACATATTAAGGGAAAATTCCAAAATGTATGCTCTTCGCGGATGATATAGTTCTTATAGCAGAGACAAGAGAAGATGTTAATTGCAAACTTGAGTTATGGAGGAGGACATTGGAGTCGAAAGGTTTTCGTCTGAGTAGAAGTAAGACGGAATATTTATATTATAAATTTGGTAAAGGACTATTCGACAATAATTTGAAAGTAAAATTGGAAGATCAAATTATACCTCAAGTGGAAAAGTTTAGATATTTGGGAGCCATTATTCAAAATGATGGCGAAATCAGTGGAGATATTTCACATAGAATTCAAGTTGGGTGGTTTAATTGGAAAAAAGCTAAAGGAGTTATTTGCGATCATAAGGTGCCTAATAAACTTAAAGGAAAGTTTTATCGCACTGCTATCAGACCGGCAATGTTATATAGTAGTAAATGCTGGGCTCTAACGGAGACAACAAGAGCATAAAGTTGAAGTAGCAGAGATGAGAATGTTATGATGGATGTGTGGACATACACGTAAAGATAAAATTCGAAATGAGCACGTACGCGAAAAAGTGAGGGTAGCACCTATCGAGGAAAAAATGGTAGAAAATTATTGAGATGGTTTGAGCATGTACAAAGAAGACCAAGGGAGGCACCAGTGAGAAGAGTGGAACATATAATTTTGAGTCCGATTAAGAGAGGTAGAGGAAGGCCTAAGAGAACACTCTTGGAAGTTATTGAATGCGATCTCTTAATTAATAATATTCCTAAAAGCTTGATAAATGATAGAGTACAATGACGTCTTGCAACCCATGTAACCGACCCCCCTAGTGGATAAAGGCTTGTTGTTGTTGTTGTTGTTGAATAATCACTCCCAAATATCTAAACTTTGAAAGGTCCATAAAAGTGGAGAAATGAGTAACTTGGAGTGGACACACAGTATGAGAAAGTGTATGAACTTTAATTCCACAGTACATCCAACCCATTTTCTTCTGCTGTTAAATAAGTTTTTAAGTGCATTTTTTGTTCTCGCTTTTGAAGAAAATTCCTTCATTATCATTAAGGGGAAAAGTACATATCACCTTGGAAGCAAGTCAAGCAATCTTTGCATTTGTAGGTAACCAAAGCTGAATAAACCTCTATTCTTTTCCTCCATGGCATTAAAATCAATAAAATAGCAGTGACATATACTTTCCTTGTATAGCAGGCATTAAGAATAGCAAGTCTTGGTTCCCCTCATTTTCTGTCCTATCTAAAAATAGAAGGAAGTTGTATTAAAAAGGAAGAAGAAGAAGAAGAGAATGCAGTTTTCTCGTATTCTGAATCCTTTCAATGTCCTCTTCATTCAAACATAAAGGAGGGGGGTAGTTACTTTTTCTTCCCATCTTTTCTCCACATCCCATGTCAGAGAACATTTACCTTACAAAGATAATGCATGAGAGTCATTTTGTTGTTCCTGGCTCGTGTATCTGTGAGCTTGAGGAGACTATCCAATCGAAACCCAATGGCAGCGCCTACAGTAATTTTATACATGAACAACTTGGAGAAAAGCATCCAAGAATAATGTTCTGAGAAAATGTTGTTTATGTAAAACCAAAAAGTTGTTGTTCAGCAATAACAATAGAATGTACATAAATAATGTCTATAGAGTAATTTGAAAGTCCATAAATAATGTCTATAGAATAAGTTTATGCACATAAACATTAAAAAATTTCCACATTCATCTTGTCATATACTCACACTTCTTGATGGTGAATGCATAAGCTTTAACTCACCTCTTGCAGTTCCGTGGTTCAAAGCATTACCAAGAGAAAGAATAGTCTGCATAATTCTTTTCAACTTAACTGAATTCTTGATCTGAAAGGCAAAACAATAAAAATTCATTATGGAAGCATGAGTTCAGGACTACTGAGCAATGAGAAAATACAGACATATGACATGCCTCTTCAGATGCAGAGTTAACAATATTCAAGTCCCTTCTAAGCTCAGAAACCTACAAGAATATTATACAGTGAAGTTCCTTGGAGCAGCTAAATGTAAACAGTAAGACCAAAATCATTTACTAAGGAAAAGGATAAAATGGTTGTCCTCTGACCTGAGTGCCAAATTGTATCTTAAAAGAGAATACTCTTAACTTGCTTTGTACTCTTGGAACTTTCATCAATTCCAAGAAGAACTGTTACAGAGTGCAAAAGAAATAAGTATATAATGGATAAAAAATAACTCATGCAGCAATGTGGGTACTTTTAGAAAACTGCACATGGGAAGTCAGCGCCTTTGGATCCTTTGTGAACGTAGAGGATGCATTTGAAGAGGGAAAGGCATAAGAGAATGTGGTTGTATATAAGGTTCACATATCATAATTAAATGTGGGACTAATTACTCAACTTCTTTATGCATATCCTCTCTCTGAATGGTATCTATATTCATTTTGTGGATTTAGAGGATCCAAATCAAAAGCCAATTACATTAAAGAGTTCAATCTCCATGTAAATGATATATCGAACATTAATTGCTGGCCATAAATGTATAAAAATTGGTCTACAACAAAGGTTGATTACTGGCTAACATTTTCTTATTGCACTACTAATCATCATAGTCTTACTCTAGAACATTTCTTGAAATCAGGAGAAAGAAAGAATCATAGTGAAAGGATAGAAATACGGTTTACCTGTTCACACCTTCCTAAATTGTCCTTATCTCCAGTGCAGTTCTGCACGTGATGTAATGACACATTAATATAGTTCAAACTAACAGAATGTCACAAAGAGTTCATGCTCTCCCTGTGTCATGATTCAAATTAATTATAAGTGAAAGAGGGGGGAGCGATTTGATACCCTGAGTAGTTCCATCTCTTCCTTCGTTGGACAGAACTTTATGAGATTCTCAACCTGATCAGCATCCAATGCTGAATCATCCAAAGCAAGCACAGAGCTCTGAAGAACAGCGTTGTAAAGTGAAAAGAAAATAAATAGATATTCCAAGAGCCAAACTTCTTAATGACCGGACAGAGAAAATTAGAAATTTCAAATAACAGAAATCAGAAACTGGACATGTGTGTGTGTGTGATTGGACCTGAGTGATTTACAAAATCTGTCCGTTATTTTCAGTTAGATATTAAAGGAACAAAGACAGCTCAATAGTCAAGTGGGAAACTTTCAGACAACATACATAAAACATGAGCATCACAAAGTAATTTCAACAACAATTACCAAATCAATTATAGAATAATTACACCGTACTCTTCAAGCGATACCTAAATTACAAAATGCTTCCCTCTGCTTTTACAATATTCAATCCCTTCGCATGAAATTAAAATATGGCATGCACTTACCCCCCCCCCCAAATTATGCTAAGGTGTTTAATAAAATAATTAATGTTAAAGACAAAGAACATGTCCCACAAAAAATTTAGGATTAAATAATTTAAAAGTAATATTTTAATTTCAAGAATGACATTTGCACTAAATATATATTAATAAGCCATAAACATTGCAAAAGATTTAACAAAGTTTTAGGATAAATTAAATTTATGGCTTTCAGCATAAAATAAATTACAGAGATAAAATTTTAAAAAATGAAAATTTAAATTAATAAAAGAAATCAATATTATTCTTTTAGAGTATTTAGGAAGCAAGTTTATATTTTCAAAAAATAGAGGAGAAGAGTGATTAAATTGAGCATGTCTCAAGGGAGAGGAGTGATATATATATATATATATATATATATAATTGCCAATTGCTTCAGGAAAGACCATGCTAATATAATTCAGAAAAGTTACTCGCTGTTGTTAATATTTAATAATCATGTGCAGAATTATAAAATTAAATATAATGTAACTAAAACATATTGCAAGCAACTTGATGCATAAGAAAAATTGCAGCTTATGCAAGTTCTTAAACTGACGATGCACACCACTTGTTCAGGTGTATCGTAGCACTGAATTCATATTGGGCCTGGTATCTTTCAGAGAATTGAATAGCTAACAGTAACACCGAAAGCATATTAAGAATTAGATTTCTTGTTTCTGAATTAGAAGCACCTAAAGTGTGGAATAAGTTCTCTCAGTTTCCTAATCCAAACTGACCGTTCATCTGACCCAAGCCAAACCAAGGCTGTGATGATTCGTCTGGGTTAGGATTGGATATCAGATTTCGGCATCCCTTAAACATGTAATTTGGGAGGGTGGGGAGGATAGATCCCGATGTAATTAGTGGTATGTTATAATTAAATGTGCCAAGAACACAAAACAAAATGCATATCTCATTTAGGATAGTAAAATTTCTCTACTTCCTCTTTTCTAATATAAAAATATTTTAAAAATATCCTGACTCTGACAAGAAAGAATCAAAAAAATATCACAACACGTGCAGTCAATTCAGAAAGATTGGTCAGGGAATTGAGTTGCCTTGTCTACACAAGCCTCTTTTCCTTTTCAATTCTTTGTAGGTTATGGAACGATGGGGTAATCAAGTGATGTGTTAAAGTTTGCTGTTAAAGTAGATTTCTCAAGGATGCTAACTGACTGATAAGAATATCCCATGGACATACGGAAAAAAGTGTATGCTACTGAGATCAAATCACAACCACTCTGTTTCAAATTTCAGCTAGTAGTCAAACATAAAATTATGCCAAATGGTCACAAAGTTTTAAACCAGTGAACGATAATTGTTTTTCTATGGAACCTCAATTCAACTTAATGTTCATAGCAATTACTTGTGAAAGTAAACTATAAGATGTGCCTCTCACCATTAAATCTGGCAAAGGGATTTTGACTTTTGTAAGCATTATCTCACAATTATATGCTCGCCTTAGCTCAACCTGCAAAATAGAATGAATTTTCTTTTAATAAAGAATTCAAAATCTTTAAGAGGCTCCTCAGAATCAGTTTTTCACATATTAGTGTGCATGCTGATGAGAGGCACCAGATATATATATATATATATATCGCAACCAATTCACTAAGAAAGAAAAACTCGCATTCATGACTTCTTAGAATGAAAAATATCAGAAAGTCACAAATGCTTGTGTTTGTACAGTTAAATAAACAAAACAGTGCCAACATATGTTGACCAAAATAAGCAAGTTGAGAAAATAACATAGATTACAATATGTCAATTGCTTTTATTTAAATTATGCAATTAAATTTACAGTTTTTTATCATCTCATTTAACAGGCATTTAATTTAATAATGGACTTATTTTAGGAATTTTCAAGACACAAAATATGAATCTAAAACTATTTGTCCTCCTCATTAACACTAGAGAACAGTTTATATCTGGAGTGCATGGTTGAACAGAAAGTAAGAGGCATGCCAGTTGAACTTTCTCAGTTTTCGTCCCTGGGGCAAGACGATTAGATTTTCCTCCTTTGCCTCCATGATTAGAATTTGGAGTGGATGCAGAGAAAAGACTCTCAAGTTCTGACATGTCAAATTCTGGAGCCCTAGCACAAAAAAGTTGGAAATGAGAGATTTTAAAATAAGCACAATTCTCATAGACCTAAAGCAGAAAAGGTTCAGCACAGTACTCATACTTAGAAGCTTCCTCTGGTTTCTGTGTCTCAGCCCACAAACTGCCATGCATAACCCTTGTTAATTTTAACCAATGGTAAGGTTTGAGATTGCTCCTCTTAGTTTGAGTTTGAATTTTTGCATTTGGTCGTGACAAGCCACATCCCTTCACACCAAATGGAACACTAGGCGGCCCAGAACACCAGGTGGTCCAGGAGCTGGAGGTACATTTCCATTACCAGTGCCAGGGTGTAAAGTCCCGGCCTTTGACAACCCATTAGCAGAAGGGGGAGGAGGTACAAGTGGAACAATGGCAGAGTTCTTTGACAAAGTTGTGGTTAGAGAAGCAGGTGGAGGGGGGGGCGGCGGTACCGTTGATCTAAGAATAGGGCCAGACATGGTTCTAGAATACCCACGAGGTGGAGGTGGTGGTGGGGGAGGGGCAGCTTTGAGTGAATTTTCTGAAGTGATATGTGGAGATCTTACAGGAAAGGAAGAGAGTGATGGAGGGGCTGGAGCTGGTGAAGGAGAGGGTGAAAATGACATGGAAGAAGATGTAGGAAGAGGAACTGGTGCTGGGTGAGGAAGTGAGGGGTGGAGAAGGGGAGATGCAAATGAACTTTTTACAAGGGCATGTGATAGAGGAGAGGAAGAGAGTGGCGGAGGGGGTGGGTTAGGAGGAAGAAGGGTTGACAATGAACTCTTTGTGGACGAAGGTGATAGAAGAGGAGCAGCAGTTGGGTAAGGAGGTGGGGGTGGGGGAGCTTTGAAAGAATTTTTGATGGCAGAAAGTGGAGATATTTCAGGAAAAGAAGAGGATGGTGGAGAGGCAGGAGGTGGTGAAGGAAGGGCCGAAAATGAGCTCTTCAAGGAAGAAGATGGAGAAAGAGGGACTGCAGTTGGCTGAGAAGGGGTTGAAACAGAACTCTGTATAGCCTCCGGAAGAGGTGGCAGAGTTGCAGGAGGAAAAACTAATGACTTTTTGCTTTTATCATGCGTTGTATTTTCAGGCTGCTGGAAGATAAAAGGTTGCATCAATTCTGAAGAAATCTGAGGTTGATGAGGAGGTTGAAGAAGAGAAACTAATGACTTTTCACCTTTGTCGTGCACTATATTCTCAGGGTGTTGGGTGACAGCAGGTTGCATCAATCCTGAAGTAGGCTGAGATTGAGTTTGAGGTGTAGAAGGAGAAACCAATGGTTTTCTAGTTTTATCAGGCGCTATATTTTCTGGGTGCTGAGTGATAATAGGTTGCAATATTTCTGAAGTAGGCTGCAGTTGAGCAGAAGTGTTATGCGTGACAGCAGGAACGTCCATCAAAGAATTCAGTTCTAAAGATCGCAGCAATGCTGATGTTGATACTGGAGGAACACTTGTAGCACTTTTATCTACTGATTTTGGCACCTCTAAGACAGAAGGGGACAGTGTAGAAGAAGAAGGGGACACTGTAACTCCATGATTGACTTCTTTGTTGATATCCCTTCAGCACGATCCTGCAACAAAGCTGTAATTCCCAAGGCTGATGGTGCACTAGGATATCTTGATATAGGTACAGGTGAACCTTGTAAAGAACTACAACATAAAACCAGAGCAGATTGAGAAGCTTGACGCACCCGTGGAGAAATGATTTTGGATTGGGTGGGCAACTGAAGAGAAACCTGCAAATGTTGAGGTTCAATCCTCCTTTTGAGAGAATTAGGATCAACAGAAGGTTCATATGAAGGAATAGATTCTTTGGTCTGAGCGGTGGATGTGAGACTCTTGATATCATCTTCAGACAATGCCATTGTTTCTGATGTTTCTACCCTCTTTTCAACAGAAGTAGCATCAACAGAAGGCTTGCGTGAGATAGTAGATTCTTTGGCCTGAGACGTGGGTGTGAGACTGTCTGTATTGTTTACTGGCAATGCATTTGATTCTAATGGTCCGATTCCCCTTTCCATTGATTTTGCTTCCATGGATGGTTCAGTTAAAAGAACAGAATCCTTCTCTTGAACCATTGACGTAACGCATCTGGCATCTTTTTCTAAGGGAAGAGATTGATTCCCTTGAGCCATTAATGTAAGATTCTCAGCATCATTTTCCAGTGATGCCTTTGATTCCAATGATATAATCTTTTTAGTAAGATTTGAATCAGCTGAGAGTTCTAATGAGGAAATAAATTGCTTTCCCTGACCTAAGGATGTAGTAATGTTATTTTCTGACGACATCTTTGTTTCCAATGGTTCCATTTTCTTTTTGCTAGAAGGATCCACAGATGATTCATATGACGTAGAGACTTTTCCTGGAACTGTGGAAGTCATACTTGAGATACCATTTTCAGGCAGTGTTGTTGGATCAAATTTAAATCTTCCAGACAATGAATCCTTTAGCAAGTTGCTTGGTCTAGCAGAAACCCCACTGTCCAATATTTCCTGGAGCTTATTTGATGCTGTGATCTGTTGGAGCACATTCACTACCTCTATTTTTGAGTCTAGCCAATCAACGTTGCTGAAAATTTCTTGAACCTTGGCAAATGCTTCAATAGGAAGGCCTTCTTTGTCCTCAAGCCGAGGCATATCAATTGAAATAACAGAAGAAGAAGCATCCATATCTGAGAAAAGAATCTTCAACCAAAAAATATGACATAACTCAAACAAATATTAAATTGATTATCGCCCAAAAAAAAAAAAAATCAAAGAAGGAAGAAAGGGGCGAGATAAATACCTCTACTCTAAAATCTTTCAGAAATTGGTCTTTACTATTCCACAAGGTGTCAATTTCATCACGGTTAAGCATCAAAATATTTGATCGGATGAATGCTGTATTAAACATGACACGAAACATCATTTGCTCACGTTCCAAATCACTATCCAGACTAATACACTCAAGAACAACATCGCCTTGAACATGACAATGGATGTCAATCTTTACTAGTTCACAGTCAGCCTGTGACAGAAACAACACTCAAATGAATAGATTAAAGGTAAATGTGGGGTTGGGGGGGAACAGTAGGTCCCCAATTGCAAACCCATTCCAATCTACTCATTTCATAACAGCCAAATGATTGCAGCCTGTAAGACACCAAATACCCCTAGTATTTGACATGATTTTAAGCTGATTCTAAACATTATAAAACTCAATATATGCCGTAGTTCCAGTTTCTTCTCAAAAAAAAAAAAAAGACCCTACCTATTAAAACCCTACCCTATCCTCAATAACAACAACAAGCCTTATCCCACTACGTGGAGTCAGCTACATGGATTATATGATGCCATTGTGTTCTATCATTTATTAAGTTTTTAGAAATATTGTTAATTAAGAAATCTTGATCAACAATATATAAATACATGCCCACCCCACCCCATCCTCATAAAAATATTAATACATGCCCACCAATAGAAAAAAATCCATATGAAAACATCAAACTTCAATCCAGATTTTATTTTGAATTGAATAATTTTTTGTGGTTGTTAGAATAACCATTGACTTTCTGATAATTAGAGAGGCATATACCAATCTATTTGGATTTATGTTTGATTTATCCGCAAATTAAATGACAAAATTCTAGAGCATCACCTACGGTTGTAATGATGAAATTTAGCGAAAGAACATTTGAATACAAGTAGCAGGAATAAAATTGAAGGAAGATAGATTCGCTCTTCACTGTCTTGAAACAGCATGCATCAAAGTTGAAACTGCAGTAAGAAAGCATTTCATAAGAAAATAATAGGATAAAAGTGCCACCTGCTTGTAATGCCGGACAACTTTGCTCCTTTTTGGAGTGGAAAACAGAACTTTGGGAGTCCGATCAGCAGCCATAAAAGGGTCCTGTCCATATATTCTAAACATAGGACAGCAACCTCCCTCTCCATCTATATTAGGAACTAATCTCATAATAACACAATCCAACGTAAGTGCTCTGTCTAGAGGAGGCCATTGTGAACCAACATTTCTTCTTGATACATACTGAAGATACCTCAATTGTGAAGGTAAAGGATTCAATGGGGACATCAACTGCAAAAGTTCCCGAGGTGCTTGCTTATATATCATGTCTAAGGTTTTTTGCTCCCCAGTAAACTGCTTCCTATAAATCAAGAGAGCAGCCAGCATGAATGCTAAAACTGGCCACCCACCTCGTTCACAATGCATCAAGATAATATTATTTTGCCCAAGTTGAAACCAGCTTTCACCTGATCTTAAGAAGTGGTGGATCGTCTCCATAGTGAGTATTGGACAACCTTCATACTGTCGAGGATATTCCATTATAGTCATATCATAGTCACACAAAATGCTAGCAATCTGGCTTTGATGATCTCCCTCCCGAAAGTTAAACACCATGAATGAAGAATCAGGGAAGTGATCATGAAGTAGCCCAATAATTCCCAATATATAAACTTTATATTCTTCTTCCTCCAAAACATCCGTGCTAAAGCAGTAATCAAAGACTACAGCATGCACCAACAAAATAATCAAAACCACAATACAAATTAGGCAAAGATAAACTTTTTAGTGCAATGAATAAGTACCAAGTAATATGACAGGATGCAGATGCATGAAAACTAGCATAAATGGGGAATCACCAGGCCAAATATAGATTACATTTAAAAGTCACAAGGCATTTATAGCACGAGTTTCCAGGCACCAGTCTTGGGGAATTCTTCAGTACATCACATTTCATTTGTTATAGATAGTTGATGCTGATAGCAGAAAATGGCAAAGTGAAAGTTCACATAGGCTCTCTACTGGCTATTCAAAGAATAACTTTTTTGCAGTGGAAATTTTACAAAATAACATTGCTTCTCGTCTATAAATAAACATGTTTGCCTAATATGCATCACTGCATTATTTGCATACATGAACTTTTCTGTTGTGCCTTTTTTGGGCTGAGAACGAGAAAAGGGTGGAGAAGAAATTCTGTTCGACACTGTTGGTAGAAGAAGCCCTAGCAAATTTTGAATACAACCTGAACACTTCAGAACATCAACTTTATTGTTATAAACAATGAAGTTCCCTCAATACCTTTACTATAACCCATCCCACGAGCAAATGTTATACCTAATACAGAAAAATGCCATTCAGCAATGAAAAAGATGGCAAAAGCCTATTGAACAACTGGCATTAAGAACGTAACGACTACATATTTTAATCTACAAATGTTTAAAACACATATAAGTCCAGTGTCCGCCAAGAACTTACAAAATCACCCAGAAATACTGGAAAGCCAGCATTATAAATGCATAAAGATCCCTTCACTACTTGAAGAACCGATGTATATGCAAATAAGCAAATACAAAACGTACCATAAACACTTTCAGATATTTCCAGAAGTCCATCGGGTGGCTTCTTATAAAAGAACTTCCGAAACAACGCCATTGTCTTTAAGATCCGTCGCGGACACCTATAACTGCCCTAATTCACCCACATTGCATTCAACCTGAGAATCAAAGCGACTCGTACATATAGCCGGATCACAGGAATGCCACCGGACAGAAATAAAAAAAAATAACAATTATGAAGGGAGTGTGTTCATTCAGGACCAGAAGGATGGATTTTGCTGGGTCTCGAAGGAACACTTTCTGGGTATTCTGCCTGTCTCCACATGCACTTTATGCATCTGACGCAAAGAGAAAAAGAAACGGAAACTTGGCTTGCAATCAAGGGAGAGAGAGAAGAGTTCCAAGTTGGAGCTTTGAGAAAGAGGTGGTTGGGATATTCATATGATTTGCATACCAATGCTTGATTAGCAGGAAGAGTTTGATATGGTGGTGATCGTTAGACGAACAAGGTGGGATGTGAGGTTTGTCTCTATCTCAGTCTGTGTCTTCTATTTCCTCGTCCCTCTCTGTCCGTATCTCGGTCTTATTATGAGAATAAACAGATTGAGGTGATAACGACGCAGCTCTGTTCCTTCTTCGTTCCCTCACTCTTTGGCAGATTATGGAATAAAATCTGTGCTTTGTTGCGTTCACGTGGGCGATCCCATGAAGATGGACAAGCGATCACTAAATTTAATTAGCACGTATTAGTGAATAATCAGAACGCACTATTCGGGTCTTTTTTGTTTTCTCGGGAGCATGCTGCTTGCATGTGTCTAAAGTGACTTTTTTTTTTAATTAAATATGCTTGACGAGAACGTTTAAATGATATAGTATATTCAAACGTTTAAAGGATATAGTAAATTTAAACGTTTAAAGAATATCACACCTTTTAACTTATATGTACTGTACCTTCTTTAGAATAATAAATATATATATATATATATATATAACTTTTTAAAGAATACATAAATTAGCATTATGAAATTTAAAATTTTCAAGAAATTGTCAATATCATTTAGATTTGAAGTTATCCCAGCGTTGATACAAAGAAATTAATTATATATGACATGTATTTTCAAAACCATGATCATATTTTTAATATGAAATGAATGACTAACATAAAGAAACCTATTATTATTAGCCAGATAAAATGTCAAATTAAAAAAAAAGGGAAAATACAAACGGTCGTGTTAGTGGACAGTGGTGCCTTTTCACGTGCGATTCCAAAATGGGCTTTCTTGGACAAGCCCGTGTGCTTGTATTTGTTCTTGGGGCCGACGGCATTGATGTGGACAAATATGAGATGGCTTGCAGATAAATTAAAAAATGAAAAGGAAGCCCAAAAAGGCTGAACCAGAGAGGGCGAGAGGGGGAAAAAGAAGAAGAAAAGATCAGCTAAATTGTGCTGATTTTATCCTCCACCACCCCAAAAAAAAAAAAAAACTAAATCTTCATCTTCATCTTTGTCTTCGTGTATTGTAAAAGCTCTCGGGTGGAGTACAGTAGTTCTACAGTTCTCTACCCTAACATTTTTTTAAATTTTTTTTAGTATATATAGACAATTTTATAGGATTATAATTTAAAATAAAATTAAAAATGTTTTATTGTGAGCTATTTAATATTAAAATTTTAAGAAAATATTTTCTGATAATGCATTTTTATAATAACATATTGATATATTTGTACCATTGTGCATTTTGGTTCGATGGTGCATTGAAGATTCTATGTGATGCATTCGAAATATTATCAAATTATTTTAATATTGTTAATTTTAATATGTGTCAAACAATAAATTCTAGAATAATTTTTATAAGAATAAAATAAATTATTGTTTACGTTTTTAATGTATTTAGATAATTTCTTGATTTTTCGTGCATTGCACGAATAAAAAATTGTCAAAACAAAGTATTAAAAAGCGTATAAGTGAGTAGATGACACCGCTTCTCAAAAATTTAAGGACTTCTTCCCTGCCATCTACTCTCTTACACAGCTGCATTGGATGAAAAATGTTAAAAGAGACGACGCAGTTAACGCCATATCATTGTATAATGGAACTTGTATTGTCTTGATGGTCTTACTTTTCATAAAACTTGTTTGCCTTCCCTTGCCTCAGATTGGTCCATTGGCGGGTTCAGGACGCTCTAGGAAATTTTCAAGCCTGATTCCATCATCAAGTGTTGAAATAATGCTGCTCTCATGGATATCTCGACATTCCCTTCTAATTTTCAGTTCTATGATGTAATTGTCTCACATGTTGGTGTTTGGGTTAAATATAAAATGTAGCGGTTGTTTTCTCTCTCATTTTTAAGTTTTTTTTTTGGTTTTTAAACTGTATATCTGCACCTTAATCTTTTTAGTGTGTGTGCCTGCATATGCGCGCGTGTCATTTGTATTTTCCTAAAAAATCACATAATCCGGTAAGAACAGTTAGGGACATGCGATTGAATTAATTAATTATAAAGGAATTAATTAATGATAATTTAATAACCCGAACTATTGAAATGTCATGGAAGGGGGATGATGTTTATCTGTAATTGTAAATATAAATAATTGGTAAAATAACCAGTGGGATATAACTTTCAAATCAAGTAAAGTTAGTTATGAATTTACAAGTAATGTTATTTATGAATCAATGAAAAGCCAGTTATAAATAGATAAACAGTTTTATGAATTTATGCTTCATCACTTATAAATTTAAGAATGGTTACTTATGAATTTTAGGAAGATCAATAATAAATTCATAAAAATTCTGTTATAAATAAATATATAGTTTTACAAATTTATACATAACTTGAGATTTATGGATAGTCAGTTGTGAAATAAATGAAAGCTTGTGCATGTATCCAATGTAAGTTGTAAATAAATATAAATAATTTTAATTGTAAGTCAATGATTTAAGGAACTTGTTATGTTTTGTGATATTTATTTACAACTAACTTTTCATAAATTTATAGGTAAATTTTCAAAAATTAACAAATGATTTTCTTAAATTTAAAAGTGATGTTGTATATATCTATAAAATTATCTATTCATTTACAACTAATTTTTTATATATTACAAAAATTTTCCTGAAATTCATAATTAACTTTTTTTTTAATTCATGAACCAACTTCTACTCGTTATTTTAATAATTAAAAAATTTAAATTGCAAAAAATTAGAAGTCTCCACAGGCACCGCATTGAGAAAATTAATCATGGCCGCAGAAAATGATAAATGAAAGTCACGAGAATATCACAACAGGTAATGAATTGGCACAGTAATTATGACGCAGCCACTGTCTTCACCAGCCACCACTCTGTCACACATACACCAAATAAATGCAACAGCGGCAAAGAATGCCCAACCAGACGAAACTCCTGTTTCTGTTACTAATCAATCCATGCTCTATTGCTCATTAAAGATCTCGATAAGAGCATTTTGTTATGCTCTCATGTACTGCAGGCCGGTTTAGGTTTTAAACTTTTAACATTTGACTGGACATTTGAGGATGTTTGGAAGTCAAAATTATTTAATTCTTTTTTATTTTAAGTTTAATTCAAAAATTCATTCAGAAAGTTATCAAAAATCTCTTTTCTCGACATGATGCAGTGAAGTTTTTAAAATGAGTTTTTGAGATATGACTTCACCTAATTTTTTATATGATCACATTATTCATTGTTTTTATAAAAAAAAATTCTAGGCAAGTTTTTGATATATCAAATTAATAATAATTTGATTTCGATAAATTTTTTAAAAAAACAAGTTGTGATAAGACATTATAAGTTGAACAATTAATTATATTAATTTTTAATCTTAATATATATTGAACTATAAACTGTTTATATAATTTTTGTCCAATATATTAAACTTTATAATTTTTATCTTTATTATTTAACATGTCAAATTTTATGTCATTTAAATTTTTTATTGTATATATTTTTCAAATGTTTCTAATATGAAGTATTGTATAAGAGAAATTACAAATCATAAAAATCAATATCTTTTTTCATATAATTATATAGTAAAAAAATTTCATTATACATAATCTAAATAATTTTTAACTTATCAAACTGATTTTTTAAACAACATATCCAAATTCAAATTATGTTATAATAATTAATTTTTACTAAATTGCCTATTAATGAGTCAATTTTTAACATATAGACTTTTGACTAATAGAAAACCATATATTCATTATCTTTTTATAAAATTTAAAAAATTAGTTAAAAGTAGAAAATGTCAACAAATTCTAGCAATTTTTCAAAACAAAATGGTTTAAAGTTAATTAGTTTTTTAATGAAAAAAGAATATTTTATATGATTTGTTTTTTAAGGGCGACTTACTCCATCAGTTGGGGGATGCGTGTCCTGATGTTTTACCTCCTTAACTTATAGTAAGTGTTGAAATTCTGTCCTCTTCCCTAAATTGTAGTGGTAAGTGACTAGAGTTCTTTTTGTTTTTTTTTTTTTTTTACTGGCTTGAAACTGTACGCATGTCTCCTACTTTTGCGTGTGGATTGGTTTGGCAGGTGGGAAGAATTTTGTCTATTCTATTTTTTTAAAAAAAAAGGTTAGACAGAATTTAAAAAATAATATACTAACATATACGAATGTTTCATTTATACTTATACTAGTTTAAAACTAAACGAAGAAGTTGAGGGCCTCAAACAATTTTATATCCCACAGTTCAACATCACACAAGACAAGGCTTCACACTATATGACATGCCGACAGTACCCATGCTCGACTCAACTTTTGAAAAAAGAAATTGTATGAGAATATTGCCGAAAACAATAAAAAAATATTAATTATTATAAAATTTATTAACAACTCAACTAACACCTTACTATATATTATTACTAGTCTTAAATTAGTTATCAATAGACATCTTTGAACGAGACCTTAATTCTTTAAAAAGACAACGTAGGAATTTGGGGGAAAAGTAACTTCCTGACTCAAAATATACGCAATCAGGATTAGAATGTGGCTCCACCTCACCTTCCCTCCAATTTGGCGCTCTATCCAGGGTTTAAAAAACCCTGCACTGTTCCTCTTCGCCCAATTTAATGCGCACTGTGTTCACCGGATTGATCCATATGAGCGAATGCGTCTATAAATCCGTCAATCTTTCTCCCTCCAATCACTCCAACCATCGCCGTCTGCGCGTGGCCGATATTCTTCTCGATCGTGCGGACGACGCCCGCAGCTGCGGCTGTGATCGCACAGGGCAAACCAGCATGGATGGCGCAGGGGAAAGACTGCAAAAAAAACATGATTCTGCACCTATTCATTACTATTCGCCTTGTCGGATCGTTGATCGGTTGTTGGCGATGCTGAGACGGGGCAAAAAGCCAAGGGTTTCGCAGCAGAGGCAGAAGATGCATACAGAGCGGAGAGAATTCAAACGTAAGTCTTTGTCCGAAAGCCGTTCGATGAATGGATTAAACGGCAATGAGGAATCAGGTTAGAAGCTAATTCTCTGCAATAGGGTTCATCTCAATATTTGAGGGTATATTCACTGATTTAGAGGATAACCTCAGCGAAGTGGTAGCCTTAATTGAGCTGCTTATGCTGAGAAATCAAAGTTGACAATGCGCATTCTGATTGGTACTTGCTTTTTGACGGTGAAAGTATCTAACGAATGACTCATTCTTATACTCTTTTTGCCGAACGATAGACTGATTTTCTCCCCAGCATTTCTTAATTAGTTGAACTTATATGGCTGTAATGGCATTCAAAGATTTCGTGAGAATATAACTATTGATATTCATATTAACTTTGGTTACATCCCTCTGCTCTTCAATTACTTCGTTGGATAATCTGATTTTTTCAATAGTTATCACTTTCTAGGTTTAAGTCTATATCTTTAATAGATTTTGTAATGGGAATCTTAAATACTTACAAAAATATCAAGCTTAAATACTTCATTTACCCCTTTGCGATGAAAGCCAGCTCTATTTATTTCGTTCTGTCCTTACTACCACGCGCCCTCTTTTCCTCCATTCTGTTTGTAAGATTTTTCCTGTCTTTATGGTTAAACTTGATGTACTGCAGGACAACATAGAAATGATACATCTTTCAAGTTGGGAGTTACCTGGGGCTTGCTGTATATGATTGCCGCAAGTAAGCATGAGTTTAGCAGGATGGTTGAGTTGCGGAAAGAAATGGAAATGCTTCTCCGACGCACGGAAGAGGAACTCCCCAGGAGAGAGACTATTTTTAAGCCATTTAAACCGACTGACGCACTGTCCTGTTCCATCACTGATATGCGAGACGTTTCAAGCTCTAATAGCCATATTTTTGTTCCATCACGATCAGGTCCAGAAAAAAATACGGCTCATAATCATGTTCAAGAGTGTAAGTTAAGTAAACAAGATGAATATGTAGAAGGAATACATGGACTTGAGGCAGAACTTAAAGTTGAGTTAGAAAGGTTGGAGCTATATTTGGATGAAGAAACTGCTTTCGAAGATACTCAAGAAGAAAGGGTCAAGGTAGATAATCTTATATTTTGATTTATGACTACTTTGTTTCTTATATTTGACTGAATACTGCATATGCGGATGAAAATATCATCTAATGACTTGTGGCTTTGAGAGATATATCAATCAATTCCATTGTAATATAAACTCAGTAAAACCATCCTGTGGTTAGTCAAATCTAGCATGAGTGGCGACAATTAATAGTTTGTGTAGATGTGATCAAATTGTTATTGTGTAAGTTTTTTCTCTTTTCTTCTATATCAGCTGCGCAAGCTCATTTTGCCAATATTCATGAATTTTTTTCACGCAGACACAATCCATGTCCAAACCCGCTATTCATAAAGATTTCCATAAAATAGGCCCATTTTTTAATTAAAACAAAAGCCATTCCTCACGTCCTTCTGTGAGTATGCCTGCATTGGAATACCTGTAATTCCGGTGAAACAAGTATTACATTTCCTTTATTATTTTCATTACACTTGTGAGTTCATCAGCTGTTTTCTTTTTGACATGTTATTAGTTTTGTCGCCTTGATGCGTGGACAAATGGCGGTGCAGAAAGTCAAATATTAGCATTACGAGTAAATATGCTCTCATTTTTCTAACTTTGACATTATTGCCATGTCATCAAATATTATTGAATTTGAAAATTACTCTTTTCGATTGATGAGAGGCACAATCAGATGTAGCCTGACTGCAATGTCGTTTGATACCAAGAGGTGTTTATGTAAGAGTTTACTTTTGATGATTATATCTCACATATTCTGCCAATCAGCCATAGGAGTTTATTCATTTTCTTCTGGTTGCCTAGCATAGGTCTAGCAAAATGACATGCACGTCTCCTCGTGTATCTGTGCTTGCTCTCTGTTATTGGTCTTCAATACTGTTCCTGAGTCTTTGAAAATGGAATTGACAGGTGGAACATATGGATTTGAGCACGAGAAGCAACTGTACTAGTTATGGTGAAATAATTGAGGCTCAAGAAGCAAGTACTGATGTATCTTTTGGAGTTCATCCGATTGAACTAGAAAGAAGGCTACATGAACTACTTGAAGCGAGGCTTCAAGAACAGATAACAGACCTGGAGTATGCTTTAGAATGCACTAGGCAGAAGGTTATTGAGAAAGAAACAGAGGTTACTTGGTGGAAGGACACTGTGCGACTCATCTCACAGCATGTTCCAGAAGCCTCACGATTTACTTTTCGGCTTGATCCCAAGGCTGCACTTAAATTGAAGGCTGAGTTTTGAGCTGTTGGATACCTTGAGAAAGCATGATGTTGATCAAGCAAGTGAGATTGGGTAACTTCTTGTCTGCTGTTTAATGGCCTCCTTCAATTTTTATTGAAGTTCTGGTTTGTCTGCTGAAGAAAGTGGTGTGGAATGTGACCTGCAGAGGCTTTTGCGATGACAAATGAGACAAGGAATGGCCAAAAAGAAGCTAAAATGATTTTTTTACCACTTATAGGTGTGCTACTCAAGATATCTCAAATATCCCTGTATATTTCCTTCAAGTTAGGGATTAATTCATGTGACTGTAAGCAGTGGAATGTAATTGTTTGGGTGAAAATGTTTAAAATGTTGTACTTGCTGAGTTTCTTGTAGAGAGCTGTGTGCTTCGATTTCCAATGGACTCACTCTCTCAAATCTCTTGACACTGGCTCTTGCCCCAGCTCTTGGCGGCTTAGTTCTTTAGGATTCGTTATCGTGTTCAGACCAGATGGATGCATTGTAATTTTCTTCTACACTTGAGATTATTGTTGTCGTTTTTATTATCAGGATGAAAGTTTTTGATTGGGCATGTTACAATCATGTTCTGGCCTTGTTTTTCGTTTCCCGACCTCTCTCTCTCACTTAGTACATGGGAATGGCTCAAGCCATGGACAACAACCAAAATGGTCAGTAACTCGTGCTTACATGCCCTTTAACTAAATCATTCAACATAATTATTTCACACCCTACTGGTGGTTCCAACATAATCATAGTGTCCATGTCCATGTCAAAAACATGATATGCGAGTCAGTCACTGTAAGTGTTGCGTCTACTGGCTAATCTCTCTTTTTTTTCCTTTTAAATAATAGTCTATCGACTACTCTAAACACATGTTTGTATATACTATCTCTCAATCTCACATGGTTCCGAAGAATCACACCCATCAAACAAGGCCATCGCTGTTAGCCTTTGTCAAATCTTGTGCACCAAGCCCTTGAAAGGTTGTATTTATTCTTTAACCAAAGTAAAGTGACTGAATGAGAAAAGTTATTTGACCATTGTCATTTATTTTTCTCTTTTCAGATTTATTATATGTCGATTAAACGAATCTCACGTAACTTAGCATTGGAGTAGACGAGAATTTCTGTTTTTTTTTTTTTCCTTTATTTGGTGAAACGAGAATTTCTCTTTTGGTTGATTCCACTCCACGGCATAAAAAATGGAATAACGATAACGGCCGAACTCGGGTTGGTAGCCCCGCTCAACGGTACGATATAAAATGCGCGTTGATGATGGACCCACCCACTCGACGACCTTGCTTGTCGTGCAATGAAGCGAAGACAAGTGCCGTCTACACCGCCGCACGCAAGAGTTAAAAGATTCTCCGGCGTGCGCACTACGCACCCACGTCCTTCCCACTAGGGGGCGAGGCACCACCATCTTTCTGTTTCGATCTCGTCTCATTTTCATTTGGATTGTTTGGGCTGGAATAACAAGAGAGTTTCATTGCCTCGTCTGAGTGACTCTTTCTCAGCTTCAAGAGCTTCGTGAATCCTGATAAGAAGGTTTTTTTTTTTTTTTGGTCCATAATTTGACAGTTCCTTTTCGATTTTCAATATTATTTCAACAAATTGCAGGCAAACAGATATTGTACGACTGGCGTGAAACCGATCTTAGCTTTTTTATGATATATTTGCTTTCCCGGTCCAAGGCATGCCGGCACCACTTTCTTCACTATTTTCTAGCTAATTTTCTCACCCACCAAACATGGTTGCTCCTTCGTATTGACACTTATCTTGCTTTTCCTTGCCTGGTAATCAACATGTGGTTTCGATTTCGAATGATGATTCTTGTATTTGCAATTTCTACTGGCAGATATAGAATGGCTCTAGCAGATTCAAATACTGACTCGGGGAATAAGTACGCGCTTGATTCAGTGAGGGAGGCGTTGATTAGACAAGAAGATACCATCATTTTTAGTCTCATAGAGAGAGCCAAATTTCCAATCAATTGTCCCACTTACGATAAAAGTTACGCATCCAATTTTAATTCATTGGTTGAGTTCATTGTTAAGAATACAGAGTCGATTCAAGCTAAGGTAGCGATACCCTCACTTCTCTTGGTCTCTCTATGGTTCCGTTCGGTAGCTAGTTTGTTACCCTATCTTGTTTGGTTTTTGTCAAACTATATAGTTATTGAGTTTGCCAAGTACGTTAAGAAAGGTCGTAAGCATTGCCTAAGAAATTCACAGAACATGCGAGTGATTCATTCTTTATTATTTGAGCACCAACATGGCCTAAGTGAGTACTGAACATTGATGCAAATGAGGCCCGTGGTATGTGCTCTATTTACAATAGATAAGTGAGATTATACTGAAAAATTATCAACTTTTAAAAAAATAATTTAGATTCAGATTTAGAAGAAAGCGACCTATGCTTCTGAGTTGAACAGATATTAATTCAATGCCTTTGTCCATAATTAGTTCTCAATCTGAGGATTCCAATATGAGCAGTATATTCAACAGGGTGCCATTTCTAAATTGGTTTTCAGTGACTTATTTTCTAGTTCTTTTGCAATTCAAATTTCGTGGGGATATATGGACTTTAATGGGATGAGGCACGATAAGCATGGTAAATATAAATCTATTGGAACCTGCAGTCTTTTGTTTGCTAATTGAAATTATGCTATTACATTATAGAGTACATGTAATGATACTAGTGTTTTACAGGCTGGTAGGTACAAAAATCCAGAAGAAAATCCATTCTTCCCGGAAGATTTACCGTCCTCAGTGGCGCCAAATTACCCATTCCCACAGGTAATTTATCATAATTCCGATGTCTTTTTCCACTGTCCATTTTACTCGGAAGAAAGATGTTTTCGATGTTATCAATTCCATCTTTAGATTTTGCACCCTGCAGCAGCTTTGATTAACATAAACAAGTCAATTTGGAAAATGTACTTTGATGAGTTGCTTCCAAAACTTGTTGCCTCGGGTGATGATGGCAACTATGCACAAACCGCAGCTTGTGATCTTTCCTCGTTGCAGGTGAGGTTTTATTAGAAGTTGTTATTTTATGATTAGTTTTGTTGGATGAAGTTATTATGCAGAGCCATCTTTGTTTCCACCTACTATCAACGAGAGTATGAGACTTTCAACCTGCTGATGTACTTTGGTCTATCTCTTACTTTTGAATCATCCGAGTGCTTTCAACAGTGACCTAAAGCAGCATTGGTCTTGAACATTTTATTTCATAAACAATCTGTAGGCAATTTCTAGGAGGATTCACTATGGAAAGTATGTAGCTGAGGTGAAGTTCAGGGGATCTCCCCAAGACTACGAGCCTCTAATTCGTGCTCAGGTAATAGTGCTTCATCCGCAGCCACTACGGTGATTAGTGAATGAAGAGTTTTCTATTTAACGTGCCTTATCCTTTGGGAACAAGGAGGGAGGCTTCTGACTGTGAGCATCGTCCTTATTTGCAAGTGAAAGTATATACTGCCAATAACTAGTTTTACAAGATTGTGCTGCTTACTAGTTAATTTTATAGAGCATCGTCCCCAGACTTTTCCTACTTATATTCTATTGTCATTTCCCCTGAAGGAAAAACATGCTGGGCTATTTTTCCAAATGAAACAATGGAAGCTTAGTTTTTGCAGGACAGAGAAGCATTGATGAATTTGTTGACATTCGAGACAGTGGAAGAGACGGTGAGAAAGAGGGTTGAAAAGAAGGCCAGGGTGTTTGGGCAAGAAGTAGGCCCTGATCATGAGGAGAACCAAGGAAAATACAAGGTCGATCCATCCGTGGTTTCTCTTCTGTACGAGAAATGGGTAATACCCCTCACCAAGCTTGTTCAGGTCGAATACCTCCTACGCCGCCTGGATTGAGCCAAATTCAATGCAAAACGTACATGATGTTGTTCCTGAAAACATTAGTCTCTTTTTATGACGATTTTATTCCTTGTGTTGTGGTTCTTTCTTTCTTTCTTTTTTTTTAATATCTTTTTGCCCAATTGTGATTTTAAACCCGTAAGACTAACATTTCTATTTTTTAGCTCTAGTTTCAGAAAAACAACTTCACCTGATTTTTAGTCTGACAATGGTAGAACAATTTTGTTCCCGCGAAAGTTCAAATAGTGTAGTTGTTTGGTTTGTCTGTAAGTTACTCTTTCCGTTCAAAAATATAAGGTATTTTTAACTAAATCGCACCTTTTAATAAAGTGGTTACCTATTTTTTAACTAACCCTATCTTTTCATATTTATTTCTATTAAATATTCTACAATGAATATAAAGTCATTATTAGTAGGAGCATTTTTGAAAAAAAAGGCAATGATTACATCTCAAAATATTAAAAATGCTTTACATTTTTGAATATTCAACTTATTAAAAAATCTCTTATATTTTTGAATGGAAAGAGTAATTAATTAATGTACAATCTAATAAAATATACATGACATGAAATAAAATATACATTTTATAGTCACACGTTGTTAATAGTCTAGTAGTATGTGATGTAGCTCAAAGTTTATTTACTTCACTGGATGTATAAATCCCCAAGTTAGATGCATGTAATGTATACAGATCCATAGTAAACATAATACAGCGATCAAAGTTTAGTTATCATCCCTCTCTTTCGGCTCCATTTTGTTGTAATCTTTCGGTACTTCATGTATGTTCAGATTTAACATAATATATTTGGCTATTTGAGGGATTTTGCTGTTCAGATTTGAAATTTGCTTAAATGAAAGTTTTAGACATGAAAGCTTCATCAATTCCTCTCTTTATTGCTGTGGTTGTGTAAAATCTATATCTTTCAGATTTGGATATTTATATATTTTGCTATATTTCTTGGATATTAAGATGTCATAAGCTTGTAGTTGATTAATTAGAGGTTTGAGGGGGAATTAGAGGAGGAGATTGATAAATATTCTCGCGGATGATATAGTTCTTATAGCAGAGACAAGAGAAGAGGTTAATTGCAAACTTGAGTTATGGAGGAGGACATTGGAGTCGAAAGGTTTTCGTCTGAGTAGAAGTAAGACGGAATATTTATATTGTAAATTTGATAAAGGACTATTCGAAAATAATTTGGAAGTGAAATTGGGAGATCAAATTATACCTCAAGTGGAAAAGTTTAGATATTTGGGAGCCATTATCCAAAATGATGGCGAAATCAGTGGAGATATTTCACATAGAATTCAAGCTGGGTGGTTTAATTGGAGAAAAGCTAAAGGAGTTATTTGTGACCGTAAGGTGCCTAATAAACTCAAAGGAAAGTTTTATCGTACTGCTATCAGACCGGCAATGTTATATAGTAGTGAATGCTGGGCTCTAACGGGACAGCAAGAGCATAAAGTTGGAGTAGCAGAGATGAGAATGTTACGATGGATGTGCGGACATACACGTAAAGATAAAATTCGAAATGAGCACATACGTGAAAAAGTGAGGGTGGCACCTATTGAGGAAAAAATGGTAGAAAATCGGTTGAGATGGTTTGGGCATGTACAAAGAAGACCAAGGGAGGCACCAGTGAGAAGAGTGGAACATATAACTTTGAGTCCGATTAAGAGAGGTAGAGGAAGGCCTAAGAGAACACTCTTGGAAGTTGTTGAACGTGATCTCTTAATTAATAATATTTCTAAAAGCTTAATAAATGATAGAGCACAATGGCGTCTTGCAATCCATATAGCCGACCCCACCTAGTGGGATAAAGGCTTGTTGTTGTTGTTTTCTAATTACTTAGTTATAGTAAAAAATGTGACTTTATTAAATATATACAAGTCCATGATAAACAATGTATTAAAACAAATTATTATTAATTTCTTAGTAGTTTGTTACAAATAAGTAATACAAATATAAATTTTATTAATTAGAGAATAGAAAAGAAGCAAATTGGCCAAGGACTTCTAGATTTAATGGCATCCCACACTCATTTGAGAAAAAGTTGTGGTTTCTATTCCTATGTGGTTAAGGGGCAAGTGTGTGTTACTCTTTCTTTTGGAGTAAGGGTCACTCTTCTCCAAGAACGAATTCAGAACATAAGTTAAGGGGAGTCAAAACTTTTTTTTTTTTTTTTCATTTTTTCCAAGGTAAAAATGAAGAAAAATCATAAAAAATTTGTACCATGGGTGCTTGCCCCCCTCAAATCTATCGCTGCTCTTCTCTATAAGGGAAAGGGTAAATATGTAGGTATATGTGAGGCATGTTTGTATTAATCCATTTCAAAGAAGTAAAAAGAAAAGAAGCAAATTTATGAGTCAAGTGAATAGATCAATTAAACTAAGCCAAAGTTAGCTAACTTTAAATGTGTAGCAGCTTCTACAATTCAGGTCCATTTTTAATGGATCAAGAGAATGACATCAGTCACCCTTAAAAGTCTAATTTTTTATATTTATTAATACAAATTAGCTTGATGGCAAACAAATAGCTTGCTTATCTCACAAAATAAAGAAGATAAATTGAGATACAAGAGCGATATACAAACCAAAAGAAATATAGTGGACAAAAAATGGAGAAAAGTTCGTATTTCTTTTTTTTTTTTTAATTCTATCTTATCTAACACTTCTCCTAAGAAAAGGGTTCCACACACACTTTTTATCTTATCTTCTTTTAATCATATGGACGATGCATCTTGCAATATTTTGTTTCAAGAGATGAGAGGATGTCACTTGATTTTTAAAGTCTCAGACAAATTCTTGTTCTTTTTTATTTCGATGTAAGTTGAATGTTATGAACAATATGCCCATCCATAGGCCTTTGATCATTAAGGATGTTTTAAGGGATACAATGAATCGACATTTTTTTTTTTACCTGAACAATTTATCAATGTAGAACGTATATTATCAAGAATTCATGCTCAACAGGTGAAATGTCTTCAACTTATTGTCCTGGATACGCAAAGGTAGGATGAAAAGTACATGGACGAGTATAAAAATCACAATTAAAAACTCTGATCTCAAAAGTTTAAGATTTATGAATATTTTATAAAATATGATAGTGTTTATAACAGTTCATCTCTAATTAAGGTATTGACTACTTAAACGTGAAAGCATACTTCATGTACTCTGTGACTGTCCCCTTGCTGCTAGTTATTGGTGCAAAGTAGTCAACACAAGAAAACAACTTGCTTTCTTTGGGCTAGATCAGGATCAATGGTTGAAATGGAATTCAGGGATGCTAGATCAAGAAAGGAGTGGGGCTGAGCAGCAGAGTTCATGATTAGCTGTTGGGCTATATGGAAAGGAACGAACGAACGTATTTTTTATGGTAGGAATATTTTTACTACATCACTCTAAGTTAAACTCAATTAACTAAATTTAAAGAGAGTAATTAAATAAATTAATATGATGTGTGGTTAGAGGGGTCTAAATTGTATAATTGATTATGATTTTAGTCCTAAATGTGGGTTCAAAATGAAGTCAAGTTCCGGGGGGATCAAAAGTTAAGGAAAAAGTGAAGAAAGGTCTTCTATACCACATGTCGCGTGAAACATTTAGAAAAAATTTAAAATTATTAAAATAATACATATAATTATATAAATAAATTATAAGTTTAAAATTTAATTTTTTAGTAATTAACTTCTTATTTTAAATTATGCATCGCTCTTATACTTATAAATTTTGTAATATAATTATGTGTCTTTCATGGTTTGTTTGAAGTTAAGTAGATATATTTATTCAAAGAGAATTGGATAATAGAATATTTTAATAAAAATTAATAATACTAAAATAGATATGATATTTTTATGTATTTCTCAGTAATCAATAATAATAATAATTAAGTTTTAATAATAATAATAATAATAATAATAATAATAATAATATAAATATAAATAAATTTGTATGAATCATCATAAAAGAGGATATTTTCTTTAAGGAAAAGCCATCATTTGACACAGGTAACACAATAGCAGTTTCTTTTAAGAGAAGCCAAACCCAGTTAAATGAATTTTGATAAAATTACACCTATGATGACTTATTCTTTAAAAATTTTTAACCCCTTTATCAAGCCAACAACACTATATACCCCTCACTCTTGCAGTATAAGCATATAGATAGAAATGAATGGGAGGCAAGAGAGAGAGGTGGAGAGAAAGAACATCAAAGAGAGATTAGATGATGGAGAAGAAGGGAGAAAGTAAGAAGAAAATGGCAAAAAAGATGATACTAAGAGATAAAATATAGATAAAATGTATGGGAATGGATAAAAAGAGAGGATAGAAATTGAGAGAAAAACATGCTAGAAACAAACCCAAAAAAATAAAGAAAGAAAGCTCAAATAAATATTAAAAAAGTTCAATATCATCAAATAAAAAAGTTGGTATAAAGTAAGATTCTTGTCTTACTAAGATTTACATTTTTTTCTTTAAATATAAATATTTTCTCCTATTTTTGATTTCTAGCTAATTTATTTTAAAGATATTATATTACTAAGTTTTATTTCTAGCTAATTATAAATGTTTTATGATTATTTATGGACATCTCTAAATGCAATCTTTTATATAAAATCATTAATAGTTTTAATTTTATAGATGACATGATTTTGGGATTTATCTAATTTTGATAATCCAATACTTTTGTATTTTGTGGTCTAGTCTTCTAATCAAAAAATTTATTTCATTATAATCCCTTTGAACTTACAATTTCACACATAAACAAGTTACTTGTATTATGTAGATTTCTATTCATATTATTTATTTAGATTTATGATGTTTCAACATATAACTCAAGTATGCTTTGAACTATCATATTTATTTAGATTTATAATCTTTCAACATATAATCCAAGGATGTTTCAAATGAGAAGTATTGTTCCAAATGTTTGGAATTTCTTTATAAGTATTTATATCCAAAAGATTCTAGTTTAATAAATTATGTGGAAATATGCAAAAGAAAATTATATTGTTGTATGTTAGTATCCTTAAGATAACCTTGATCTAAGTGAAAATGGGGTGAAATTTATTTATGTAGATCCATATCGAGGGACACCCTGGTTATGCTTAGTGCTATATTTAGATGGTTTGATTATCAAGTGAAGATGGTTTGATTATCAAGGGAAGATGGTTTGATTTACCAAAATATTGTAAGATCTTTTATTAATTTTTATAAATGCCTATTACGAGTACTTG